TGTAGTGTGTGTGTGTGTGTGTGTGTGTGTGTGTGTGTGTGTGTGTGTGTGTGTAGAGTAATTGTCTTGATACTTAGCAAAGTCGACGTCATTGTCTTTGCTAAGAGACGCTAATTGTATCCGAACGTCTGCGGTCCCTCCGGTGTGTACCGATCACACAAGGATAGAAATTATTTTCATTTATTATTTTTTTTTTAATAAACGAAAATTTCCACCCAGGTGGGATTCGAACTCACGACCTTTAGATTTAAAGGCAGGCGCTCTTACCACTGAGCCACAGAGGGGGTTAAATTGAAATAATAAATGCTTTCTTTTTCCTTTGGATTGCCTAATAAAATTTCCTTTGGATTTACAATCTAAAATGTTTGTGCAATATCAAAAATTTTATTTTATATATAAAAACAAACAAAGTGAGGTTAAAATATTACAGATTTGACAACCCCTGACCGACCAATAGAAATGCAGTATAAATTTATACTCGGTATATCTCATCGAGCAATAAGACAAAAGAGGGAATCTAATCCTTATGAAAAGGAGACCAAAAAAGTGGCCTCTGATGGCGGACATATCCGGAAATGCGAATGCGCCAAATTTAAATTTTCCGACACTTATCAACAGTAGCTATATAATATTTCGCAGAATGTGTCTTAGACGAGAAAGTTTTAATTAATTATTAATGATAAGAGTCTAAAATGCGACACAATTGTTAAAAAACTTCAATATAAATAAGATTTCATGTGACATTTGGGACAAACAATAACATAACCCAACTAAATTTGATGTCAAACAAGGAGAGAGACTCTCTTTCCTTGTTTAATGTAGCGTCTAAAGATCGCACTTCCTGTCTAACAATATGTTTGCCCCCACTACCTTTACATTCCCTTTAATTTTTTTTTGCTCGATGGTATATCTGCTAAACTTTGGAGGGATAAAGTTATTCTACAGATATACTGCGATTATCTTATTCCTAGTTTATTCTTTGTTTGTAGAACACCATTAATGAAGTTATTCCAAGTATAACTTTATTCTCAGTATATACTAGCATTGTAGAACCGGCCCTAATAGATGAAAAAGTACTCGTATTTTTACCTTGCGTTTTTTTTATGTCCAACAATGATTTTTGATCGTGTCCAACACCACAAGTTAATGCAGATTCTCAAGAAAGTTGATATAGACCAAAAAGACATAAGATGCATTGAAAACTTGTACTGGGATCAAACGGCACCGTTAAAAATAGACAATTCTATATCCAAACCCATACATATAAGAAGAGGCGTTCGACAGGGATGTGTGCTTTCCCCTCTTTTATTTAACATTTATTCGGAAGCCATATTTCAAGAGTCTTTGGAGGATGCAGAGATGGGAATCAAGGTGAATGGAGTATTGATCAACAACATACGATATGCTGATGATGGTATCTTAATTTGTGACAACATAGTCGATCTTCAACAACTTGTCACTATAATCGGAGAATACAGTAAGCGAATGGGATTAGAGATTAATACCAAAAAGACCAAATTCATGATCATCTCCAGAAACTTGGATGCACTTGAAAAGTCCACCATAACACTGAATACTAAATCCATTGAAAGAGTGAGTAAATTTAAATACCTGGGATCGTGGCTTTTTGAAGACTGGGCATCGGACAGGGAAGTAAAATGTCGCATTGAGCAAGCTCGACAAGCTTTCGTAAAATTCAAGAAGGTACTGACTTGTTCAGAGTTCGATCTTCAACTGAGACTAAGGTTTACTAAGTGCTACGTATGGTCAGTGCTGCTATATGGCGTAGAGGGCTGGACACTCAAAACGAGGGATATAAACAGATTAGAAGCTTTCGAAATGTGGCTTTATCGCCGTATCCTAAAAATACCATGGACAGCGAAAATTACAAATATAGATGTCTTTAAAAGAATAAACCAAGAACGCCAACTTTTCAAAACCATCAAGGAAAGGAAAACGGCGTATCTAGGTCACATCATGCAAGATGAAAAATACCAGTTCCTCCAACTTATAATCGAGGGTAAAATTAAAGGCAAGAGAGGAATGGGACGCAATAAAATGTTCTGTCTCCGAAACATAAGGCAATGGACAGGGATCAACGATATACAATCTCTGATACATATTGCAAGAAATAGAGAATTAATGGAAAATGTGATCGCTAACATCCATTAGTGGATTTGCATCTGAAGAAGAAGAAGAAGTTTTTTTTAAAACAATAATTTATGGTCACAATTTGATTTTTTTGAAATTTGGTTGAAGTCAGTGTGATGCCCAGAAAGGATTTACTATTACCTCTTACGAATGTAGGTACCTTACCGTCATTTAAAACGGTAAGTCCAATTGCGTGGATCCATTCTGATAGATATTTCCCTCTCCCATCTTGCACTCGTGGATTCCATGGACGATCCTTCGCATTCAGGTCACCAGCTATGACGACCGGTACAGTCTCCATTCTACCCTTATACAGTGCTTCCTACAGTAAAATAACTCAGTAGACACTGAGTCAATTCTGTTTGCGGTTTCCTCCATCCATTCAGTTCAGTCTATTCTATTCCAGTCTAGTCTATTGTGAGGATTGATCTGATGTATTACCTGTACCTACATTGATTTGATGATTGATGTGCTGATTGAATCCAACTCAATTCGGTTCCTTACGTACATCCTCTACACTGTTTGAAAAGTCCCAATACGCCTGTTGGGGGTGCAACCTGTCAAGTGCCTTTGTCGCCGACCGTTCTCTGAAAGAACGATATTACCTGTGACTATCTGCCGCTGACTGTAAGTACAATATCGTATTCTGCAAGTGTAAGTAGCCGAGATTTTTATGATTCAACTATCATCTTTTTTTCCGTTGTTACCTAAAACCGTAACCCTAACAACACAAAGAGAGGTAAATCGGCTGGTCATGACAAAATCACTGCTGAAATGTTAAAGTCAATGGGATCGAAAGGAGTTGAATTTTTAACCAAAATTATGAACATGGCTTGGAACCCATGTACAGTCTCCGAAGATTGGAGAATTGGCATAATACTACCAATCTTTAAGAAAGGAGACCCAAGTTCTTGTGAAAATTACAGAGGAATTAATCTACTTAGTATCGTCTCCAAAATATATGAAAGCATCCTAGAAAAGAAATTAAGACATATCGTTGAACCACATCTGGATGAAGTACAAAGTGGGTTTAGGAAGGGACACAGTACGCAAGACCATATATTTACGTTGAAACAAATAATTGAAAAAGCTAGAATAAAGAACACAGAAATATATATGGCTTTTCTAGATATTGAGAAAGCTTTTGACAGAGTTTCCCAGGAAGCAGTCTGGAAAAGTCTGCAAAATAGAAATAATGACCATCAACTAACAGGTGCTATCAAAAGTCTGTATCGAAATAACAAGAGTTATGTACGTAAGGGTAACTTGGAATCAGAGATGTTTGCAATAAACGAGGGTCTGAGACAAGGAGGTATTATGATTCATATTGATTACTGATGACATAATTAAGGAAACAAAAGCAAGTATACACAAAGTACATATCGGATATAGTAAACTACGACCGGTTGGTATAGCTGAGTGTGCATTCGCAGATGATCTCATGTTATGCGCTTCCAACGAAAGGGACCTCCAGCCAGAAAAATATAGATAGCTGGAATAATGAGCTGGCAATCAGAAACATGTTAAGAATGTTAAGAAAACCAAGGTGATGCTAATAGCGAAAACTAACCGAAATGTTAACATAGAAATTAACCAACAACTCATAGAACAAGTATATGCATTCAAATACCTGGGGGGTTACAATAGACAGAGAAGGTACCATGCAGAATGAAGTAACAGAAAGAATAAGTAGTGCTTCAAAAGTGTACCATAATCTTAGTAGAGTATTCATAAGTAAACCGGAAATCAGCAGAAGAACCAAAATGACAGTTTATAAAACAGTATTCCGACCAATCTTGATATATGGAAGCGAGAGCTGGGTTTTAACAAAGCAATTAAAAAGCAAGATACAAGCCATTGATATGAAATATCTAAGACGAGTCAAAGGAATAGCACGACGAGACAAAATAAGAAATGAAGATGTTAGAGAAGAACTGGGCACAGAATCTGTACTACATGCTATTGAAACACAACAAATAAAATGGTTTGGTCATTTGTACCGAATGAGCGACAACTGACCCATTAAGCAAGTCTGGAAGGCTAAAGTGAAAAGGTTTAAATCCAGAGGCAGACCACGGAAAACCTGGAATGACGAAGTAGGGCCGATTTTGAAAAGTAGGGGATTGGAATGGTCAGAAGCTCAAAATAAGGCAAAACACAAGAAAGAATAACCGTTAGAAAAGGATTTATGATTCAAGTTCAGTGCCTTCAATTTATTTACGGTTTATTTATTTTGAATCAAAATAGCATAAATTTACGGTATTTATATAATTAGGTTTGTTTTCTATGTACTTATTTTATATTTATTATAGATTTTATACACATATTTGAGGTGATCACAATCAAACATTTCAGTAACTTCATGTTAAAGTATTATCAATAATAAAATTCACTCATTTGTTTTACTTCAAGTTATATCAAATATTGACGTAGATACAACTATAATATTCCTTGGATATACAACTCTTTTGTTATTGGTTATGTCCAATAGTTGTCCAAATGTTGAAAAAAATCCTAAACATCACTAATTGTAAATAACTCGTAAAGCATTTTTCGAAAAAGTATTTATTTCGATGAGATACGCCTAAAAAAATTTACTCGAATCGATTCGGGAAAAAGGTTTGCTGCAGTAGAAATGCAAAATTAGTCAGTTTATGCCCTGCTTAAAGGGATAAACCGGTCGCCTATAGCCTCCTATCAAAAATTTCTAAACTAATTAATACATTAAGATTTTAATTAACATAATCACATAACATATCATATATAAATATATATATATATATATATATATATATATATATATATATATATATATATATATATATATACATATATTGCGTTTTTTATAGGTGGTGGAATCCAGACGGGACTCAATGCCGACAAACCGTACTTCACATTAAACAACAAAAACATATCCATCTACAGCGGCGCCTGTCATTACTTCAGAGTACCCAAACGCTATTGGAGGAACCGGTTACGAAAGATCCGGGCTGCCGGATTCAACACAGTCGAAACGTACGTGCCATGGAACCTACACGAGCCCCAACCCGGTTGGTATGACTTCGGAGCGGGAGGTTCAGATATGCAGGAGTTTTTAAGTGTGACGGAGTTCTTGAAAATCGCCCAGGAGGAGGATTTGTTGGCGATAGTGAGACCCGGGCCGTACATTTGTTCAGAGTGGGAATTTGGAGGGTTTCCTAGTTGGTTTCTGCGTGAGAAGAATCTGAAAATACGAACTTCTGAACCTACGTACATGAAACATGTAACAAGGTAAGGATAATGGTGGTTTTCTTCTTTATTATTTATTAGAACTAGTATAGATGGAAGGCAACCCTTTTTCCTCATGATTCAAAGCTATCCAGAGTATTTATAAATATCTTTGTATTGGTAAATTATTTTTCTAACGATTCTAGTTTTTAATTGACTATAAAATGTGTTTCTTTTTTTGCGCTTGATCGTATGTTCAGTGATTACTTTCATTTGTAATTTCATTCCGGAAGCATTTATAATGCTTTCGTCGATGGTTTCATTTGATTTTCCATGGTTGTGTTTTTTCACCATTTATTGATTGTAATAATAGTCACGGAAGAAATAAGGAAAGAATCAAATGGTGGACAGAGAACATACAAGCAAAGATAAAGAAGTAAAAAGAATGAAAGAGATACTTTTAATCACAAAAAGACCTAAGATTTTTCGAATCCATAGTATACTCTATGTGAAAGGCTTATTCGTCTTTTAATTTTTTCGCTTGTTTTGTTGGCAGTAGTCACCAATAAGCCAAACTATATAAAGCTAATTGTTCAAAGATATGACTTTCAAAGACTGTTTTCCGTGCTATAGGATCTTTAGTAACCAACATGTACTTGGTTTTGTCTTCTTTGATAACTAGACCAATCTATTTGACTGCCACTTCTAAAGCTAGGAAATATTGCTCAACATCTCTCTTGTTAGGCCTTATTCTTCTTCTTCATGTACCATGTCCTTTCAGAACGTTGGTTACCATCATAACTATTGTAATTTTATTCGCTGCCACCCTAAATAGCATGCTTGTATCTACACCATACCAATCTCGCAAGTTCTTCAACCATGAGGTTCTTCTTCGTCCTGGACTGCGTTTGCCTGCTATTTTTCCTTGCATGATATTTTGTAGCAATCTATATTTGGGACCTCTTATTACATGTCCGAAATATTCCAGCTTTCTCTGCTTGATGCTTTTTATGATCTCAGTGGTCTTGCTGAGACGTTCAAGTATTGTGGAGTTACGAATCTTCTCCACCCAGGAAACTTTTAAAATTCTTCTATAGCACCACATTTCGAAAGCCTCAAGGCGATTTAGATCGATTTTATTCACAGTCCAGGACTCGACAGCATAAAGTAAGACCGAGAACACGTAGCAGCGAAGTAGGCGGATCCTTAATGCCAATTTTAGGTCTCTGTTACATAACACCTTGGACATCCTTCTAAAAGCAGCTCTAGCCTGCTCTATTCTGGATCTAATTTTGCCGTGATTTTCTGCATTACAATTTAATTGCTGTCCAAGGTAGACGATTTTATCAACTTGCTCAAGTTTGGTATTATTTACATATATAGACGGTTTTATATTCTGTTGTTTACTTATTACAAGTATTTTGGTTTTCCTTATGTTAAGATCCAGACCTGCCTCCCTACAACTCTCAACGACACTATCAAGTAGTGTTTGCAGATCTTCTTGACTAGAAGCTAGGAGTACTGTATCGTCCGCATATCGCAAATTATTGATGACTTCACCGTTCACAAGTATTCCTTTTTGTTTTTCACAAAGTGCTTTTCTGAAAATTCTTTCGAAGTAAACGTTAAAAAGCAGGGGTGACAAGAGGCATCCCTGCCGTACTCCTCTTTTAATATTGAGAGCTTGTGATTCCACACCATCTACTAAAACTGATGTTGTTTGATTCCAATATAAATTTGCAATTATTCGAACATCTCTGCCGTCCAAGCCAATGTCTTTTAGAGCTTCGATCAATATAGAGTGCTTAACACGATCAAATGCCTTTTGAAAGTCAATAAAACAACAGTATATGTCTACAGATATATCACGGCATCTTTGAGCAGGTACGTTCATTCCAAACAGTGCCTCTCTCGTTCCAAATCCTTTACGGAAACCAAACTGAGTGTCATCCAGGTATTCCTCACATTTATTGTAGATACGACCATGTATTACCTTCAGAAAAATTTTCAATAAGTTAGGCCTTATTATGACCACTATTATGTCATTTTTTTTTTCTAGAAATTAGATAACAACTGTATATGTTTGGTAATTGTTTCCATCTTCTTATTCATTACAGAGCTTGAGGGTTTGTGACTAGTTCCTGTATTAAACTTTGTTAATCAAGCATCTTTTCAAGGGACAACATGCAGTTCTTTTTCCTTTCTGTTTGCATTCTGTTTTTTGTATATTGTTTTTTTCTTTTATAAGACGTTAGGTTGAATCAGTTGCGTCATTAATCCAGCTTTCACATCCAGTTAAGAGAGTAGGTACGGAACTACTACTAGATCAACACTCTAGCAGAAGCAGCTGGCCTTCAGTCAACACCCTAAGGCCAGTGAAGTTGTTATCAGATCAACACTCTGACAGAACTCGCCTTTCTCGTCAATCAATCTGAACGTTAGAACCTTGTTTAAGCTTGCGCTTCTTCGAGGTGGGTCTGGTCCCTTTTTTGAGAAGGATGAAAAACGTTAGTTGCAAGTCCATTATTTTGGAGTGGTATGCAAGGCCTGAGTAGAAGTCAGCTCCAAAGTTATCAGCCATACTAGGAACGGATCTGAATTAGCGTTTTTGTGGTTCAGGTAATTTATGTACGATATTTGAGGGGAGTTGTTTCGAGGATGAGTAGTACTCATCAGCAAATTTGTTGTTAGCAAAGTGTAGAAGTTTGGTTTGAGGAAATGGGTGTTTTGTTAGGGGGAGCCTGGTGAGTACGTGGCCTCGACGGTGACAGGTTTGCTTAGCTCAGTTGTTGGAGCTTGTTATTGTGTCCAGAACGTATCTTTTGCTGAGGCCTTTCTCGTGCGGCGACTGCTGTTTTGTATGGTTGTAGGTCTTCCACTTCCTCTAGCAAATATCGGTAGAAGAGGAACTTGTGGTAGAGGTGTGTATGTTTACAGAGCGCTAAGGTGACTGAGGCGATGCATATCGTTACAATACACAAAATTGCAAATGTTTATACATAATAAATCTATTAAATGATGAATGTAAATAAATCCTCTAGGTTCGCTGAACTAACCATTTTTTATTGCAGATATTTCAACGTTCTCTTGCCGATTCTAGCTCTGTTACAATTCACTAAAGGTGGTCCTGTGATAGCATTTCAAGTAGAAAACGAATACGGTAGTACCGAAAGAGCAGGAAAGTTTGTACCTGATAAACAATATTTAAGAGAGTTGAGGACGCTATTTTTGAATAACGGTATTGTTGAATTATTGGTGACATCCGATAGTCCTTCACAGCACGGCGATCGAGGGACTTTACCTGGTAAATTATAAACAATGTTTACTACAGTACATACAACCTACTTACACCTCTAAACGATTATTAAAATTCGCAGAAATCCTTTAGTTGTAGTAAAAGGCACAGTAGACTGTACTGAAGTTCTCCATAATCTTTTTAATTACTTACTTTGTTTAGAATATTTTTGCCTGTATTATAAGTTAGAGTTAATTTGTATAACATGAGGAGCAAAGATTCAAATGAAATTTTAAATATTATTATTTATTTGGTTAATAATGAATGTATAAACATAATGGTTAACCTGCTGTTCAATTATTTCGTAAATAACATTATAATAAGAAAGATTTCATGTTTGTATTTTGAGAACGATTTCCGAAGTGGAAATTGAAACGTCAATAAACGTATTTTAACCTTTAATTGTGGATTATTCCCAGTTAAATAGTAATTAATTTAAAATGCCACAAGAAAATAGCTTCTGAACAACATTATAATAATGTACGTACTGATTATTTAAATTTATAAATCATCATCATCATCATCATCATCGTCACTAAATTCACTACCGCTCTCATTATGTAAATCTATAATCACTGGATTAATTTCACTAATTTTATTTTCCTGGATCCACCACTTTTCTATTGATTTTTCACATTTATTTAGAGTTGTGGCCCATATTTCTGGAGTTGTAGGTAATCCAATGTGATTATCATAATACTTTTTACATATACCCCAGATCTGTTCAATGGGATTAAACTGACAGTGATACGGCGGTAACCGTAGTACTTGATGTCCATAACTTTATACAGTTTGGTCAACTACAGTGTGGATATTAAGTCTTACCCCCCTAGTGAACTCCGTTATTTAAGACAAAGTTAAAAAACGCTCGGACCCGTCAATTGTTATTTTAATAGAGGTATTTTGTAACAAAAAAATTGTCACCCGTTTGTCACAGCTACCCCCTCGCGTTTAACTCGCGTCGCGGTCGCCGAAAGATGCGCTGGCCAGCAAAATAGGCGGAGCTTATAGTTTATTTTTATGAACGAGAGAGTAATTAGCATAATTTTAATTGGTACCTTCGACCACTCCATGGGCGTGCTCAAGATTAATTGAAAAATTACTTTGAATAATTGTAAAAAATAAATGAATTATTTCAGTGTTATAAAGTGTTATGTGTATGTAAACAAAAGTGACCTCTTTTATCACACACTATATTAGAACTGACTGGCCTACATTAAAAAGAGTTTTAAAAAATTCACATTTTTTTTAATTTTTAAAAATTACAAAAGAGAAAAAGAGTTTTTAAAACCTTCTAAGGTATGTTAAATAGATGAATAAAAATATTAATATAAAACTTACAGCTACTTGTTACAAATCCAAATCAGATTCAGAAGATGAACTTTCAGAACCAAGATTTATAATAACTGGCTCGATCATTTTATCAGTAATATTGTCCAGCTTCCACATTTTTTCCTCTTCTTTAATAGTGTGATTTACTGCCTTTTCCCAGTTTTCAGGTTTTACATTATTTACGGCCTCCAAAAACAACTGTTTAACATAATGAATTTTTAAAGTGGTATTTTTTCTTGAAACTTCACTCTTTATCTGTACCCATATCAGTTCAATCGGGTTTAATTCACAATGATATGGTGGGGATCTAAGTACTGTCATTCCACGATTTTTGGCAATTTCATCAATTTCGTATTTTTTAAATTTTTCTTTATGAAGGGCACACAACGAATAAAGTTCCTTTCTTATAGACCCGGGATGGTACGTAATATTTTTTGAACTCAGCCAATTCTGCAAGTCTTTTTTTAACCACTTGGTTGTGGGCAGTCCTTCTATAAGTCTGGAGTGATAACTTGCATTATCCATTACTATTACACAGCTCTTAGGAAGAAAATCTATCATTTGTTCAAAAGTTAATAAACCATCTTCAACAAAACCGTCTGAACTGCCAATGTGTACTATTATTAGCCTGCGTCCCTTTCCTGATGGTGGGTTTAAACCAGTAGATAAGTCATTTACAAAAGCGTGCCTTTGACTTGTAACAGTTTCATCCTGCCAAAATTTATTTGGTGTATGACTCTCGTTAATCCATGTTTCATCAAGATAAAATATTTTTCTTTTTTGGTTTCTCATTTCCTTTATGGTTCTTAGAAAATGTCTTCTCCATATGACAATATCGCTTCTTTCTAATAAAATAGACTTTCTGGGATTCTTTTTCTAGCGGAAGCCTATTTCTTTTAAAAGTTTCCATAACGTACTTCGACTCATTTCTGGGTAATCCTTATCATCTCGAACTGAGACAAGAACTTTATCCAATGTTGGAAATTCTTGTCTAAAGAAGAATTCATGCACTTTCCGTCGAAGTCCTTCTTTAAAATGATATTCTATTTGAAATTTTGGTTTCCCTGGAGCATTACGTGGCATTTGAAAACTACCACATTTCTCTTCTTTAATAACTCTGTAAATCGTAGATTTCCCAACACCAAGTGTACTGCTAACTAACTCAACGGTCTCATCAACACTTTCACATAAACGTTTGTCTGTAAATGATTTAAAACAATTAAATATTAATGTTTTTTCATTAACTGTTAAAGGACCAATTTTTCGGCGTTTACACGGCACTTCCAAATTTTCCATAACACTAGTATACACAATAAACTGCACCTTGCAACTGAAGTACCTACTTTTAGTGAACTGTTAAGAATTTTGAATACGCCACTTGGACCTTCCTACAAAATGGAAAAACCCACTATCACATTTTCTGTGGAATAAGTTTAGAAGGTAATTATCTAGTCAATTACTGTCGTAGATTCCTGTAATTAAAGAATTAAATGTTTGATTGTTGAAACTCTTACTTTGTGGAATGCACTCATTTCAGATAAAATAAAACGTTTTATTTTATCTAAAGAATTAAACTTTATTTTGCAAATAGGTAGGTACTTATTAAACTTTTATTGGTTATATATAACCAATAAAATAAACATTTTACATTTCTTGCAAATTCATTAGTACCTGTTAACCTCCATCACTCCGACACTGGCAACCTTATTTAGGGATTAGTAACCCTCACAACTATTGTATTCTAGTCTGCTCCAACCTTTATACCTGGTGGTCATACTCAATTTAAAATTGTTTTTCTATATACTTCTGTAAACTTGTTGGCAAATATCTGTTTTTCATTGAGTCACCCGTATTAACAGTTTAGGGATTTGCATACATAATTTATTGTTTTATTACTCTCTCATACATAAAAATACACTATAATACAAACTAGACGCGACGGCGCCCCCACGCGCCGTGGGGTTATTAACCCAGTAAATTTTACTGTGTATGTCCTATGGCTGCTTGCGTACTACCTTAATAATCGTCGCGTACCACTGGTGGTACGCATACCACAGTTAGGGAATCGCTGGTTTAGATGTGTAAGTTGGATGAATGTACCGTATTTAACATGCTTACTGATTTTGTTATTCACCAAATCATAATGGATAATTAAATTTGATCTAGATATGCATTTTTTAAAGGCATTTTTCTACAAACCGCCAACTTTAACTTTGACCCGATGTTCGAATTCGGCAGCTTACAGAAGCTTCAGCCCAACCGACCAGTAATGGCGATGGAGTTTTGGACTGGCTGGTTCGATCATTGGTCGGAACAGCATCATGTGACCGATAGACAAATGTACACCACTGTTGTCGAACAAATTTTGAAGTACCCTGCATCAGTGAACTTCTATATGTTCGAGGGTGGGACTAATTTCGGGTTTATGAACGGCGGAAACCAAGCTAATGGAGCCGTTGACAATTCTGGATATCAACCCGATACTACGAGCTATGATTACGACGCGCTGTTGACTGAGAGTGGGGATTACACGGTGAAGTATGTGGTGGTCAAGGAGTTGTTGAAAAAATACAATAAAATACTGACCAGGTAAACTCTAATTCCACTATTTGGAAGAGTGATTCATCGTTTACAAGCGGAGAACTACATGCAACGAAGCGAAACATATAAATAAAATTTATTTCATTACAATTTTGTGCTTAATTTTTACTATTGAAAAAATCATGTTTTTGGTATTTTTATGACGGTAATAATCGCTGCGTTCAAGAATACAGGTTTTGTATAACCATAATTACTACTTGTGAACAAGAATTGGCTACACTGTACGACAACTCCTGGTCAAGTCTTCTATAGAGAAGCACAAATAAATAGACTACTTATATATTCTGCAATTTCTTAGGAGAAAACGCAAATTGCAATTGAGAAAACGGGTAGTTTTCAAGGGCCGCTGTGTACATTTAAATTTGAGGATATTCGGCGTTTAAACGATGAATCACTCTTCCACATAGTGGAATTATAGCATAGTTATTCTTTCTATTTTAATACATAACAGTTGGAAACTTTATTATAATTATTTAGGTAATTAATATTTTTGGCATATTAATTATTATTAATTTGGCATATTAATGAATTATTTGGCATATTATTAGGTATAGAATTATTGCGTAAATTGTCCGTCGTGTTAATTATACGGCAAAGACAGCTACGCGTGTCTGTCCTGTGTGGACAAACGAATGTAGAGGAACACGATGAAGGCGTACCACAGAGTGTCAAGATAGGCGCTTTAGATTACTGGCTCTGCCAGACCGTTTTGCTAGTACGCGTCAAATTGATGATCAATGGTCTCTAGTAGTAGGTAGACCTGTTAGTATGCGTACACTATACCGTCGCATTCGAGCCTTTGGACTGGTTTCTTTCCGCCCACGACTAGTGCTTCCTTTGACTGCGGACCACAGTTATCAACGTTTCAATTGGTGCAGATAACGTTAGTATTGGGTGGCAAAATGGCGAAATGTAGCATTCAGCGATGAATCACGATTCTGTTTACGAATGCATGATGGTCGTATGGTAAGACGTCGCCATGGAGAGCGACGAGATATCGAGTTTGCATGATGAGAGAGGCATGTACACAGGACAGTTGGAGTAATGGTTTGGGGGGGTATTCTGTTTACCACTTGCGTTCATTCGAGGCAATATGACAGCTGCACGTTATGTTGATGACATCTTACAAACCACTTTTGCTGCCTTGTCTCGACGGCCGTCGAGACGTCCTTTTCATCAGCAAGACAACGCGTGTTTCGATATTGGTCGTCAAACTACGGACTTTCTCCAAGCAGATGGCGTTTATGTTTTGCCGTGGCCCCTTGTGCTCCAGATTTAAATCTTATGCAGGGATATGATGGGAAGGAGATTGTACACTTTGCACCATCCTCCACGGGCTCTGACACATTTAATACATGAAATTTAAGTTGCTTGAAACGAGGTGTCACAAGCAGATATCAATCATCTCATTTTGTCAATACCTAGACGTACACGGGAGGGTATTCAGCTACAGGGTCGTCAAATACATAATTATTTTTTCAACATTTTAACATCTTATCCATCCCCTAAATATAACCTAGAATGTCCTAGAAGCTTAAAAGAAGATTTAACGAAATTTCTTAACAAATTACGACTGGCCACCAAATTACAAAATGTGGATCGAGAAAATATATCAGTATAAGAATTATACCAGCAACTTAAAAATGCTTTCATGAGGCTGCAAGTGTAGCTTTGGGGTATAAAGACAAACATGAAACAAAAACTTAAGAATGGTGGTCGGAGAATATGCAAACATTAGTAAACAAGAAGAAAACTGCTTATCAGAAATGGATGTCAACGAGAAAGAAGGAAGATTACAACATATATAAGAAATTAAATCGAGATGTAAAAAGAGAAGTAGTGAAAAGTAAAAAATGAGATGTGGGATTAAAGATGTGCAAAGGTGGATAGCTATATGGGTGGAACAAGAATTGGGCAAGTATGGACCAAAAATATTACATGAGATGTTGGTTCAACTCTTTAACAAATGCTTAAAAGGACATAATATCCCTGATGATTGTAATGTTGGATACATCAGCTCAATATTCAAGAAAGGGGATAAACGGAAATGCTCTAATTATAGGGGAATAACTGTTATCAGCTCAGTGGGGAGGTTGTACAGTTGAATAATAAAAGAAAGAATAGAATTAGAATACGAAGACATAAAAGAACAAAATGGATTTCGTGCAGGAAGATCGTGAACTGATGGTATATTCGTTCTGCAGCAGGTAATCGAAAAACGGAAGGCAAGGAATCTAGCTACCCACCTATTGTTTGTAGATTTAGAGAAGGCATACGATACGGTACCTTTGAAAGAACTGTTTCAAACATTGACGAAAGTAGGTCTCAGTATAGAGTATGTAGATGCTATCGCAAATATTTACAAAAATGCAAGAAGTGTCGTTAAAGAAAGAAACTTTATATGTGAATCATTTCCAATAACAAAATGGCTTAAACATTAAACAAGGATGTTATCTATCTTCGACCTTATTTAAAATATATATTCAATCATCGCTAGAGCAGTGGAGGAAACAAGTATCTGGAATGGGAATACATCTAGGCGGTGGTAAATGTGTAACAACAAGTTTAGAAAACTAAAGAAAGAATATGAAAAATATAGCCTCAATATAAATATGTCAAAGACAGAGTATCTTAAAATAGGAGATGATGAAGAAGATCCAGAGTTAGAAATTAGAAACACAAAAACATGTAATGAATATAAATATCTTGAATCTATAATATCTAAAGAAGGCACTACCAAAAGAGACATCGAAAATAAAATGCAGCAGGGAAAAAAGCGGTACACATTCTAAACTCTCTACTATGGTCTAAATATATTAGACAAGAAACGAAATTGACAATATATCGAACCTTGGTAGAACCTATTATGACTTATGGGACAGAAGTTTGGCAGATCACGAAAAAAATATAGAAAAAGAATGGAAGTAGTAGAAATGGATTTTCTAAGTAGAGCGTGTGGTGTATCCAAAAAAAATCTTATCAGTAATGAAGATATTAGAAGGAGGACAAATACTGTATATTCCAGAGTAGAAAAAATTAAAACGAACAACTGTGGTATGGTCACATGACCCGAATGAATGAAGATAGATGCCTCAAGAAAGCTTTAAATTACATACCACAACAAAGAAGAAGAAGGGGAAGGCCTTCAGTTGCCTGGGAAGAAAATGTACGACACATAATGAGAGATAGAGCCATTAAAGAAGACGAATGGATGGACAGAAAACGATGGCGGTCGAAATGCGAGAAGAGGCAGAGGCTGTAGGAACCTCGCTTATAGTTGTCATGATGTTATGCAACATTTTCGTTTATTTTGCCGCCAACGCTGCAATTTAACGTTTATAAAGATCGAACCATTTCAATATTTTGTTATTAACGATAGAGTTTAATGTATTGCTGATCTTGTTCTTTGGTTTAATAAGCAAAGTTGTGAAGATGAAGGTTTTCAATAAATTTTCGTTTGTCCGAACATTTAGTTGTTTATTTTATAAGTTTTGTATTGCTTTTGCTATTAAATTTCTAATAAATTCCAAATTAATATAAATTTATATTTCAGAATTCCTCAAACTCCATCAGAAACACCAAAAATTGCTTACAATTCAACCCCCATACAAAGTCAGATATTACTAACCGAATTGTTGGAAAAACAGGAAACAAAAATCATCAGTCCTTTCGTCCTACCCATGGAACATCTTCAAATCAACAATAACTCAGGACAAAGTTATGGATATATAGTGTACAGAAAAAGATTTATTGACATACCCGCTAATTCAGTCCTGCTAGTGGAAGGACGAGTATGTGATACTCTAGTAGTGTTGATAAACGGTAATTTGGTATCGAAACCTTTGAATAAAGCAAGTGATTTGAACGGTTTTGGCTTCTGGAAAGTAAAAGACGCTAATCTTACTTTAGGTCCTAACTGTTACGTCGAAGCAGTTCTGGATCTCGTTGTAGAAAATTGGGGTCGAAGTGGTTTTGGGGCCATCGATCAATTTAATCAATTCAAAGGACTCTGGCAAGGTGATGTTTACTTAAACAACGAAAGAATAAATAGCTGGGAAATATTTCCCTTAGAGTTCAAAAAATCATGGAACCAAAACTTGTCCGGATGGCACAAACCATCCAAAGTCTGGTCTGTAGGTCCTGCGTTATACAAAGCGAATATTTATATCGAGAAAACTATGGACACTTACTTGGACATGAGCAAATGGTGCAAAGGTATAGCTATTGTGAACAACTTCGTGTTGGGGAGGTACTCCAAAATTGGACCTCAACAAGCTTTATATTTGCCTGCGCCGTTTTTAAAAGAAGGCAATAATGAAATTGTGATATTTGAACACTATAACCCAGCGGAAGAAATATCGTTTTCTTCTGCTCAGATTTATAAAACTAGAACTGATTCAGATTAGTCTTTATTTAAATTAAATTGTGTAAATGTATAAAATAAATTATTTACTAAATTATGGCTGTATTATATCTTTCTTCTCCTTCATTGAGTTCAATATAGCTCTTTTAAAAACTTTTTTTTTGTATTAGGGTAATTATTTCAAAATCAAAATAAACCAAATCGATTCAGTCATTCTCGATTTATTATAAAAAAAATTATAAAATATCATAAAATGACGTTTAACAAACGGATCAAATGAACTAAAACTGTAGAGGTGAAGTCGTATAAAAAATTTTGAATTTACAATTAAAAAAATTAGGGTAATTCATCGAGACAAAAAATATCATGTCTCCTAAGTTGGACAAATACCTACACTTTCAAAAATTTCATTGCAATCAGTTCAGTGGTTTTTGAATATTAGCTTGGACGAACATCGTGACACGAGATTTTTATATAAAAAGATAATTAGAATATTTGATGGATTCGACCGTTACTTGATGGAAATTTATTTTATGTAACAATAAAACACTGAAAACTTTGTGTTCAAACTTCCACAAAATTTATTTTAACTCTTATCACTACAGCTGTTTCGGCTGATTGCCTTTCTCAAGTGATCTATTTTTGGCATGCGTTTACAATTTATAGTCTTTGATGAAATTGGTTGAGGAGGGGAGAACTGTTTGTCTCAAGTTGGTAATTCAGAATTATATCTGTGTTTTTTAATTTGTTGATTTCATAAATTCTAACAAAGATAGCTTAAGGCCTTTATTTTGAATGTGAAGAATTTTAAATTTGTCATTAAAATAATGATTATGATCTAGAAGGTGAAGTGCGTATGTCCAATCTGTTTTTCTATTATTGAAAGCCCTTTTATGTTCTGCTATTCGTTTATTAAAGTTCCTACCAGTTTGACCGATGTAAGTTTTTGGGCAGTCGCCATATTGAAGTTTGTACACACCACTATTTAAGTGTTTTTTATTTTGGCTCTTGTTATTTTTAATATATTTGCCTAGGTTGTTATTTGTTCGGAAAGCTGGTGATATTCCTTTCTTTTTTATGTGTTTGGCTATTTTTGTTGTTATTTTGCCTGTATATGTAATCGAGCAGAAGGTACTGGGTTTTTTTCTGGTGGTGGAAATACTAATTTCAGGGCTTTCTTGTGTAGCTTTTGATTTAACATTTTATTAATTGTTTGTTCGTTGTATCTGTTGTTTACTGCTATTTACTTAATTATATTTAATTCTGTCTCAAAGTTGTATTTTGACATCAGAATTTCCGTTAATCTATGTAGCATACTATGGTAAGCTGCCAGTTTATGTTGTGTTGGATGGGATGATGAATTGTGTATAGTCGTGTCAGTATGTGTAGGTTTATGAAATAAGCATAAGTCATGTTTGTTTTTAAGTCTGATAATTTTTAAATCTAAAAAGTTTCTATTGTAAATTCAATATGACTATGAAGTGAATTAATATACGATAAAAATTGGTCGAGTTGCCTGTTAGTTCCTGTGAAACATACCAGTACGTCGTCTCCGTATCTCCACCAATATAGAAATTGTTTATAGTCCTGGTTTAGGCAAACTTCAAGAAGATGTAAAATTTCAGATGTAATTATTGGATTTGTACTATTTTGGTCTAAAAGGTTTTTTACTAGAATAAAAGTTTCTGTAGGAGGGATACTAGGAAAAAGATTTTTTACGTCAAATGAAATTAATTTGGAGTTGTTAGGTAATTGAAAATGTTATATTTTATTAACTAGTTCTATTGTATTTTTTATAGTAAATTTAGGTGAAAATTTAGTGTATTCTAAAATAATCTCTAAGTTTTTTTTAAAAGTTTATATGATGGAGCTGTATAAAAAGAAGCTACAGGTCTTATTGGGTGATCCAGTTTGTGTAGTTTAATGAAAGAGTATAATTTAGGAGGCTGTGGGTTCATGATATTGAGGTATTTCTGTTCTATTGGATTTACTATTGATTTTGAATTTTCTAACGCTAGCTTAATTTGTTTTTGATATAAAAATACTTAACTAGTGGTATGTACAAACTTCAATGTGGCGACTACCCAAAAACTTACATCGGTCAAACTGGTAGGAACTTTAATAAACGAATAGCAGAACATAAAAGGGCTTTCATTAATAGAAAAACAGATTCGACATACGCACTTCACCTTCTAGATCATAATCATTCTTTTAATGACGAATTTAAAATTCTTCACATTCAAAATAAAGGCCTTAAGCTATCTTTGTTAGAATCTATGGAAATCAACAAATTAAAAAACACCATTATTCTGAATGACCAACTTAAGACAAATAGTTCTCAATTTGTGTGGAAGTTTCAGTGTTTTATTGTTACATAATTAGAATATCATCAATTCTTCATCAGTTCTAGTTTTTGTGTTAAATTTTCTAAAGGTTTGTTATCTGAGTACATCAAGAACTCTTTTATTTTCTGCAAATGTTTTACAGCTTCTTTTATGACTAAACAGACTTTCTCTTAATTTTTTCGGAAAATATGCCACTGGCTTGGTAATAATTTATTATTCCCAAGAATTGCCGTACATTCTTTCTTGCTTCTGGAACAGGGAAATTTTTCACGGCAGTCAGATAGTCCAGTTAGATGGAATTATTTTTTATTATGTGAACTAAGTATTTTACAGAGTTTTTGAAAGTGCAATTAGAAAATTTTAGTCTGAATCCTCCATTTTCTATTGCTTTTAATAATTCTGATATATGTTCAATAAAGTTTTTGGAAAAAATAGGATATTACGTATATAACTGACTGTAAAGTCTAAAAGATTATATTTTCTAATAATGCTACTTAAATCTTTTGAAAAATTGCCGGAGCCGTCTTCGAAACAAATGGAAGGCAAGTCTATTGAAAATGTACTCTTGTGTTATAAATACCGTTTTTCCTTATCTTGTATTCTGATAGATATTGACCAGAATGCTGAATTTATGTCTAAAGTAGAAATGTATTTACAATTTCTACAGTTTTCCATTAAGTCCTCAATTAATGGAAAGGGTTGTGACTGTGGAATAATAATTTTATTTAGTTGTGTAAAATCTGTCTTGTCTTGTCCATATTTTTCTCAATCTTAAGTATAGATTTTTATCTTCAGTGTTACTAACATTTGTTTTTTTACACCATTATTTGTCCTCAATGACAATTCCTCCCATTATCGTAAACCATTGGCACTGGTATTTAACTTTCACTTTTATTATTTCGGTGTCTTTATCTGTTAACTTCTCTCATATTACTCAAAATTCTTTCGAACTTATTGCTCCCATTTATATTCTTCCTTTTACTATTTTGTATACGTTTCTCCCAATTCTAGGTTTTCTGTAGGCGGTAGAAAATTGGTAAAAATAAACAAAAAACTGTTTTTACTCATTTATTTCTTTATTCCAAAGTATTCGATCTACATACAAACATAAACGTCCAGACTCATTACCAAAAACAAAATGAAATTGAACAATTTTTTGTTCATACTTTTTAAATAAAACAAAAATTGTTTCTTATATACCACATTGATCACTAAAAAGATAAGAACGAAAAAGATTCTCCAAATCGTATATATACTACACCAAGCAAACATACAAGTAGGTACAAATATTACAGAAAGATCAGTAGGACCAAAAATTGTCCGGTCCGCCATATTATTGTGACGTCACGCCGAATTTGTTAGGTTAGAAAAACAAAGATATTCGAAAGGTATTATTCGTGAAATGGTTTTTTACATTATCAAAAAAAAAATCTTGGTCTCTCGTCACGAATTTTAAATATTTCTGTTTTACTGAGAATTTGTTATTCTGATTTCTAAAATTTGTACTACTACGCACAATTCAATTATTTTATAATGAAGATAATATAACCAGGACGGATCTGTAAAAAAGCGGCTAAAGGCGATGCGATGGCTGGATAAGATGGTAAAATCTGCCACTCGGCTATGAATTTTATTTGGGGCTGAGCACTTGATGGTACAGTTGCGGTCACGGAATAGTTTACACCTTACTTTTTATATTGTAATACTGTAAAATTGCAGTGTCGTACGGATTTGATAAATGTCAAAGTCAAAAAATTTCAAAACGTCAATGCTTTCGCGAGTGTTCAACAATAAAATAAAAGTATATTAAACTCTTCCAAAATGGTTAGAATACATTTGAATTATGCGCAAAAAGCAAGAGCAATTGCCAAACTCGAAGAAGGTTGGTCACTAAGGCAAGTTACTGCTGATTTGAACGTGAGTCATATGTGCATATGGAAGATTAAACAAAGATGGGATAATTTTCACTCTATAGCACGGTTGGGCGGTTCAGGAGGGCAGAAGATTTCCACAGATCAACAGGATGAGATGTTAGTAGATTATTTGAGAGAATCTCCTTTTGCCACAGCTCAAAAGGCAAGAGAAGAGGCAGCGTTTCCAGGCAGTATTCGCACTGCACGTCGAAGAATTAAAGCAAGTGGACTGCTAAATTGTGTAGCTGCACGGAAACCTTTTTTGACTGAGGATCACAAGAGGAGACGAGTTGAATTTTGTAATGAATTTATAAACCGCGATCAGAATTTTTGGTCTAGGGTTGTATTTTCCGATGAAAAAGTATTTCAGTCGTATAATAAAGGTCGAATAAGAGTTTATAGGCCGAGAAATCATAGGTATGATGAACAGTATACGCATCATTTAAGAAATAGTGGAGGATTCTCTGTCAACGTATGGGGATGGATAAGTGCCGAAGGCCCTGGCGTTTGTTATCATGTAGAGGAGAAGTTAACAGGATTATATTACAAACATATTATTCAGCACACAATGTTGCCATCGGTGATCCAGAGATTCCCCAACAACGACTTTATCTTCCAACATGACAATTGCCCGGTGCATACGAGTAGAATTGTTCGAGAATGGCTAGAAGAAACTGATGTTAATGTTCTTCCGTGGCCTTCCCGTAGTGCAGACTTTAACCCCGTCGAAAATGTGTGGGCACAGTTAACAAAGAAACTAAATGAAAGAAACCTTAGACCACGGAATAGAATTGAATTATGGGAAGCAATTGAGCAGGCATGGGAAGAGCTTGTTAACTATAACATGAGGGGATTGGTGCTATCTATGAACAGAAGACTGCAAAATTGTATTGACAAGAATGGGGCTTCCACCAAATATTAATTATTATTTATCATTGTTTATCGTTATTTAATATAAAATAGATTTAAAATAAAATGCATATTAAAAAAAAAGACTTCTTTATTTTCGTTATTAAGATCATAATCCATTTTATTCAAAAAACTGTTTTCTATATTTTTCATTTTGTAAAATATTTTGATATTTTAATTTTAATCTACCTATTCTAGCTAGTACACCACTGGCAACGTCACTTTGACGTAAAAGGTGCGTTTAAACGAAGTAAAAATTTAAAAAATGGGCTCCTAGATACGTGAACCTGTAAACTATTCCGTGACCGCAACTGTACATATTTAGAAACACCTTCGGCCAAATTTGCAGCTTTCTAGGTGGCTCCTATGTGTTTAAAAACAAAAAAAAATTCCTGAATGATCCTTTGCTTTAAAAAATCTAAAAAATACCAATATACATATTAATGTCTAAAAAACTTCCGATTTTTTTCAGATTTTTTAAATCAAAATTGAGCCCAGGAAAAATATTTGAATTAAAAAAAAAAAAATTTTAGGTTACGTAGGTAATTTTTGGCAAACTTCTACATAATTATTTTCCGTGTATTTTTTTTTTTTCGTTCCTTTGAATAATTTTTTTTAATTTCGCTCTCCAGGAAATCGTCAAGATTTGAAAACTACCATTTTTTTATATTTTTTCCCATGTTTTAAGCACATAACCTCATTTAAATGTGACAAATAACGATTTTTGTTACCCTTCCTCCTTTTTTCGAGTAATAATTATCATTTAAACGTTCATACCCAAAAACACTCTGATTTTTTGAACCAAAATTGAGCACAGAAAAAAATTTGAATTTTTCAAAGAATTTTTAGGTTATGTAAAAAACTCTTACATCCACCTCAAAACAGATCCCTCTGGTCTAATAGCATTTGAAGTCGACATTTACGCACAGCGTTGTCGTTTTCTCGTCTGTTATCAATGTCCTAGGGATATTACTACTGATAATCAAGTATGAAAATAAACAAATTCTAACAGTAACAAAATAACCACACAATGAAGTGATATGTCTAAGTATAAGAAATTTTTAGCAGTTATCCAGCAGTGACGTTACTGATAATAAGGTGCAGTTTTGAGTATTATATACACTAGAGAATGTAGATTTTGCTTTTCAAAGCCTTGCTACTACATAATTACTTTGAAATGTTTTAAACATTTGAAACAATAGACTACCCAATGGTAGATCTATAAAGTAGATCTACCATTTAAATGTAACACTTGATCTTGCCAAATGGCAAGAGCGAGGAATGTTTGACTACCACTTAGGAAAAATCGTATATTGCTAGTTTATTTGAACGGTACAAAAAACTTTTACTGGTATAAACAGTCTGTGAAACTCGTTCACCTGCTTCTTAAGACTTTAATAACACAAGTACTTCCAAGAAAGCTTTCATTCTATCAACACTTCCAGCGTGCCTTCCAAATCACACTCATTTTTTATAATATTCTTTTTATGTATCTCCAAGTGACTGCTCAAGCTCCACTGGTAGCTAAACCTCTTCGAGCACACGTAACACACATACTGTTTGTTTTCCATCGCATGCATAGATCTGTGCTGCATCAGTTCTTCGTCTGTATCGAATTTCCTCAGACATATAGTGCATGCCTTGTCATTGGAAGTGTGAGTAAGGATGTGTTGGTTTAGATTGCTGAGTTGGCGGAATCTATCCGGGCAAAAAGTGCATTGGAACGGCATTTCGCCGGTGTGGAGTCTCATGTGAGTGTGCATGTTTCCTTTTTGGGTGAACCTACGCGAACAATACGGACATTCGAACGGTCGTAGGTAGTCTGGTACACGGTGCTTAATTGACTTGGTTTTTTTACGCTTTAAGGTCATTATATCGGTATATATGTTGGTAATCCCGGTTTTCTTAGTGTCCCCTTCACTGGGTTGTGCATTGGGTTGGGAAACCTGATTTGTGTCCATATAAATCGGTACAGATGGAGATTCCTGTTTAGACTCAGTATCTGAAAAAAATTTCAAACATTATCTATACATTCATATACTAAACTAGATAAAGGTATTATCATAATAGACTAGGCGCGATCTGATAGAAATTCAGGCCATAATGGACATTTTCCATAGGAAGCTATTTTTTTGCTGGAATCTTGATGAAATTTCTCATTTTTTGCTCCTATTTTCGTTTATAATTCGGAAAATATTGATCCTAGAGAAAAAATTATAAGAAGTTAAAAGTTTCGTTATTCAATTTTACACAATGTTTCGTTAGCTAGAAATTGAAAATTTAATGTTTATTGTAGATAAAGCAATGATGAGCAATGATGATACTGGCCCTTCTATTCTAAAATCAGAAGTGGAGAATGCTATAAAGGGTCTTAAAAATAACAAAAGACCAGGCAACGATAACGTATACGATGAAGTATTGAAAATTCTGTGCGAAACAAACAGTCAATTTCTAGACTCACTCGTCAGACTCTTTAACAATATTTATAACAGCGGCGAGTTTCCTGAAGACTGGCTAGAGTCAACTTTTGTTGCCATACCGAAAAAACCAAAAGCAAAGTCTTGTGATCAACATCGGATGATAAGTCGAATTAACCACATTTCGAAGGCATACACCAAGGATATTTACAACAGAATAAGCAAAAAATGCGAGGATAACATTGGAGATTCGCAGTTTGGGTTTCGGAATTCTCTTGGGACAAGAAAAGCACTTTTTAGTCTACAGGTACTCATCCAGCGCTGCAGAGGTATGAACAAAGACGTGTACATATGCTTTATAGACTACGCAAAAGCATTCGATAACGTAAAGTACAAATTTTTTTTTATGTTTTGGTACATGCACTTGGTCCAACTTGTTACAAACATGTGTCTTGATCCGCTAACCCTAATTTTCCGGAAAAGCGAAAAAATCGAATTAAAAATTCCCCAGGTTTTCAGCATATACAGACGTCCAAATTGAAAATTTTTCTCACGAACCGTTAGATGGAAAATTCTGGGAATGGCATAAGAACGAGCGGTCAATTTTATGTAAGAAATGTCCACCCGCTTGACTCTCGGACCAAAATTGACGCCACTACAGCCGAATAACTAAATTTGAAAAAAATCCAAGGGTACCCCCTTAGTTGATTTTTCAAATTTCTATCAAAAAAAATTTTTTTTTATGTTTTGGTACATGCACTCGGTCCAACTTGTTAACAACATGTGTCTTATTTTGATGAAAATGCTCATGAAGTTGAGACGAAAACATAAAAAAGATGTTCAAATAGACAGAATCTCATTTTGATTTCATTAATGAATGGACAAAAGTTTCTGTAAATAATTCCCATTATTAAGTGATAACATTAAATGATGTAATTCAACATACATACCCCTTTTGACCATTGTGAATAGTTTACTAAATATATGAAACAAATAGTGCAAGTTGGTTAGGATAACAGACCAACTACAATCTAACAAATACATAATTAATGATTCTATTATTTTTAAGAGTGTGTTTTACCAGTAAATGTACAATTCTCCTCTATAAAGCAATCATCAACATCAGATGATCTTGCTTCATTGTTATCATCATCATTTTCACATTTAATCTCTATTATTTCTTCAATACTATCTTCAGTCAAGTCTACATTGGCCTCAGCTCCATTCAAATGATTATTTTGAGAAGATTGATGAAGATCGTTTCGGTTTCTGTCATCATGATGTATTTCTATCTAAAAATGAAAATAGTAGACTAAACAAATGAAATTTTCACAAACTTACAACAAATATTTCAGTATATATTGTTATGATTCATTTTATCAATCAAAGATAGAATACACTTTTTATTTTAGAATGCGGGCACATAAATTTCCAACTCCCTGTACATCTATTTGTAAATATTTGTTATAAGTAGTTTTAAGAAGTGGGTTCATCCATAATGAGTTTTACCCTGAAGAACTGAAAAACATTAGTAATTATGTAAAAGTGAATAGACCATTGTTCCAGATATTTGTGGATATAATATCTTAAAAGCCTTTGTTTTTTGTTTTGCTGGAAAAGCCAAAAGCTGTTTTGTATAATTTTATTTAGTATTTTGTTTTACATAGTATTGTGATTGTGGTTTTATTTGTATTTGTAGAAGATAGATATACGGAAAAAGGACAAGTTATAATATTAAAATTACATTAATATTTTCAATTGGAAAATATAAATATTTCACCATGGAGTTGTCTAAGAAAATATCTTTATAGATACATCCCCACTGGCAGTATTTTTCTATAATTTTATCTGCTAAAAGTCTAATTTTGTACATACAAACTGTAGAATCGCCTATTTGGACATTATCCGCTAGATGAACAAACTTTGCTATTTATAAATACTTGTTTCTGCTCAAAACATTGTAAACACAGGAAACTCCTAGGTCCTCATCCAATGACCTAATCTAATTTTAATTCTAGATGGTTCAGACCTATATTTCAAAAGATCAATTATTACTTTAGCTCCAAGTGGTATTTTTTTATTATCTTCAATATCATTTGTTTTTTTTTTTCGCAACAAACGTGAAAACCATAATCATATCCAGTGGAACCAGTTATCATCCAATTCTTATATCCAAATCTGACGGGCTCCTCTTTAATTAATGATTTGCTAGGTTATGACCAAAATATTTCACCATGAATTTGTCTAAGGATATACCTTTAAGGAAACTCTCCACTGGCAGTATTTTTCTATAATTTTCTATTACACTGATACTCAAATTCTACTTTTCAGTCTTTTCAATAAACTATTATTATTACACATTAGTGAATAAATAGTTTTTATAATTAGAATTATATTTTATTTATGTAATTAATTTAGAAGTTACCTAATAAATTTTTGAAAACAGTCTTTTTTGTGTTACTTATACTATGGCCAAAAAACAGTAGTGAGAATAGAAGAAATAACATCAGAAGAAATAGAAGTAAAAAGAGTTGTTCGACAAGGGTGTATATATACACCAGTATTATTTAATATGTATACTCGGAAGACATATTAAGTAATTTATATTATAATACTGGATGGAAGCTGAAGAAAATTCACGTGAGGAGACTGAAGGCATTCGAGATGTGGATGTACCGAAGAGTACTAGAGATCTCATGGGTAGATGGAATAACCAACATTGAGGTATGCATAAGGAAAGAGAAATACTAACAATTAAGAGGAGAAAAGTGGGATATATGGGTCATGTGATGAAAGGAGATAAATATCTAATACTCCAGGTCATTATGCAAGGAAAAATCCGGAGAAAAAGATCCATAGGAAGGAGACGTAACCCATGTAATAACGACTTATTTAGAGCCGCTGTCTCAAAATTAAAAATCGCTGTGATGATTGCCAACTTTCGAAGCGCAGACAACCCCTGAGAAGAAGCTACAAAAATTCAATAAATGAATCATTTTGTCGTCAATTTCGAATGTTTCCATATTTATAAATTTAATAAACAATATTTTTTATTTTTATTAATATACTGGATTGCCCACTGTGGCTAAGTACGATCCTGAAATCTGTCAGATTCTTCAATAACTATATGAAATAATGCTCAACACACCTTATTCATTATATGACGTCATAATTAATGACGCACTGAAAAGAACCTCTAGGATATACTTTACTAATATATTTACGAGGAGCTTTGAAATTCTGAAACCAGGTTGTTTGAGGTATAATTGGTTGTAAAGAGGTATACCTTTTATGGTTTGTAGAACAGTAATGTTTCCATTGCTCTTTCCATCTAAATTGCTGATTTTTTTTTAAAATAGTAGTAACATCTGATGTATTAAGCATATATATCAACGTAGAGCCAGTTGTTACACTCATTTTAGCTAAATGATCTACATATTCATTATGTTTGAGACCAATATCTGCTTAGACCCAAATAAATTTTATGTTGACTCCAGTTGATGATAAATGATACAATCAATCCTTTATTACAAATATGTAGGGGTTGCTAAATTATGAGGGCAATTTAATGTTTTTTATGCTCTGCAAAACTGAAAGGCAATCTGACAGAATTAAAATATGCCTATTGCAGGTGTTTTTAACATATTTTGGAGCTTCAAGTATAGCTATTGATTCCGCTGAGAAGATTGAAAATTCATTTGGTAGTTTATACTTGAATTCTATGTTTGTAGCAGTTAAAAAGTATGTGCATTCAGTTCCTTCTGTTGTTTTTGATGCATCCTTGTATATTTCTGTGGCTTCCCTGCAGTACACATTAAAAGAAAGCTGTTTATTGTCTTGATGTGTAGAATTGTGGATTTCTTCAAATAGTTCTCTGGATATCTAAAGTGAGTATTTTCAGGTATGGACATAATGTGAGCTACATGATTTTTTTACAAGCAACTTCATAAGCTCTAATGCAGTTTAATGATAATTTGGTATTTACTGCACTCTAATTAATTCTTTGCATGGAGATGTTAGTCAATCAATACTGTATTAGTAAATTAGTATTAAGGACAAGGACAGAAGACAAGCCAAGCAAAATACATCTCTAATTAGGACCAGTGTTTGGTTATCTTGATACATATTTAAGATATCTCTATTATTAAGAATTGTGAGGGTAAAACTTTTATATTTAAAGTCCATTTAAATATCAAATCCAGACATAAACAACTCCTAACCTCTAAAGCAACATTATTTTTATTGTTGACAGAATTATCAAATATCAAATAGATATGACACTAAACATTATACACTTACCTGTGTATTCTCTAAAGGTGTAATATCACAAAAATGCAATGTTTCTTTAATCCTAATGTCATTATAAGTTGCTCTCTCTATAAACTTACAGATATTTTGAAGACATTCAACACACTTTGTACAAACATATCTGTCAACCCCTATCCCACCTTCAATCTAAAAAAAAATAAATAAAAAAAAACCGGCAATAAAAGGCCATTCTTCTTTTACCTCTATACCAGTTATATTTTCAAACAACCGTTTTAAATTATCGTAATCTTTCCACAATTTCAAACCTTCTGTAGTTAGACAAATTCTACATATACTAGATTTGTGAATGGCAAAAAATGGCTGGTTATTTTCTTGGAACTCCACTGCCATATTTAACATTTACATTTATTAGATCTTTCAATAAAAACAGAAAACAAACGAAGACAACAATGAAATCTCAATGTTGCCACCCTTAAACTATTGCTGATCAGGGGCGTAACGTGAGACTATTAGTAAGGGTGCGATAGAACTTTATCAATATTATATTATACATAATTCTAAATTATAATAGTTTGGTAGTAGTCAGTTATTTGACACAAAATTATTTAATAAACTTTAATTTCTATATTGTACAACATACCTACCTACTGGCTAAATTCCAATTTTGATTGACTAACAATGAAAAATGACCTTTCTATAATACTGTAATAGTCAGTTTTTAGTTAATTTATATCAAAAATTAGTTACGGTAACGTAGGGGAAGTGCGCCCCCTTTTATTCATATTTGGTTTTAATTTTATCAATGCTTCAATTGGGTTATTTCTGCCAAATAGAGAATAAGTGCACCAAGCACTTTGACAATGATATTTATTTAGGGAAGATTCCAAATCTGTGGCTTTTCACAATTATTGATTATAATTTTTTTTCTCTTACATATCGCAGTAGCGCACTCGCTTCGTCAGTTTAGGGGAAGTGCGTCTTCCGGGCATGGTTATATACAGGGTGTCCCATAATTAACTGGACATTAGTTAATGGGTGATAGCTGACATCAAAATAAAGCGGTTGAGCTCAAATTGCTTAGGAAAAATGTTGCTATTATTTTTTTATATTATTTTTATGGATATATTGAAAACTATTTAACCGATTTAAGTGAAATTTGGTATCTTGCTATTATTTAGTATGCTTAATAAGAAAATGATATTAGTTTTACCATTGACACTAGGTGGCGCCCCATTGGTTCATTAATGGGGCCATAATTTTTTTGTCCGCCTGTATAAAGATTCTAGGAAAAAAACATGAAATAACATTCAATTCTACATAAAAAAGGTATTCTTGTTTCAAATAAAAAAAGTACACTGTTTTCGAAATAAACGTATTTTGTTAATGATGCATGTCTCTATTTAATTTTTTGCAAAACAAGTATGCTTTGAACTTAATGACAACGTCAAGACGTAACTACGAATTTATTTATTATTAGTTGTCAAAGTGCAGTGCTAGTCATTATTTGTCAAAGTGCTATTACGTTTTTTATAAACCACTTAAGATAAAGGAAAAATGCCACGTCATAGTGAATTTTCTAATGTAGAAATGCGCGATATGATCTGTTTGTATGCCCAGGAAAATTTTTGTTCTCGTAAAGTAGCTGAACTCTATTTCGAACTTTATCCCAATAGAAGGCAACCAAACCATAAAACTATTAGATCATTGTTCGACAGATTAGGCAAAACAGGGTCATTTCATCCCAAAACATGAATGCTGGAAGACCGAGAGTAATTGATGCGGATATGGAGGATGAAATTGTTGTGCGTGTTGCAGAAGATCCAGAAACTAGTACAAGGCTTGTTTCTGCGGCCACTGGTATAAGCAAATCTACGGTGTCAAGAATAATACGGACAGAAAATCTGTATCCGTATCGTTTTACTCCAATACAGAATCTTTTACCACAGGATTTTCCAGCAAGGCTCCGATTTAGTCAGTTTATGATGGGGCGGCATTTAGACGATCCACTGTTTTATAATAAAATGTTATTTACCGATGAAGCCACATTTACTAGAAGGGGTGTATTTAACTGGCGTAATAGCCATACCTACGCGACAGAAAATCCTCATGCATTTCAAGAACATCATTTTTAACACGAGTTTTCCATAAATATCTGGTGTGGCATATTTGGGGATTGTATTGTAGGACCATTCGAATTACCAACTAGGCTTGACGGAGTAACGTATCTAAATTTTTTGAGAAAAGATTTACCAACTCTTTTAGAAGACATACCTCTAAATTTGAGACGGAACTCTTGGTACATGCATGATGGTGCACCACCACATTATAGCCTAAAAGTTAGAAATTATCTAGATGAAATTTATCCTCAAAGGTGGATTGATAGATGTAGTGTATACCCATGGCCAGCACGCAGTCCCGAACTAAATCCCCTAGACTTTCAGTTGTGGGGCTACCTAAAGTCACTTGTTTATAAAAAAAAAATAAATAACCGTCAAGAGTTATGGCAAAATATTGTAGAGGGAGTTAACGTAATTAGGGTCCAAAGAAACTCATTATTTAAAATAAGACAAAACTTACACAAAAGATTTAGTTTATGTAGTTTATCTAATGGTGCACATTTTGAACACTTATTGTAATTTTTTTTCGTTTCGTTTTGAATTCTTCACTTTGTTAATTGTTTTATATTCACTTCATTGTTTAATTTAATTTCTGATTTTTTAAAAATGTGTTACTGAGTCAAAGGCTTAATAAAAATAATTGTTTCAATCATATGCATTTTGTTTGTAAAAATTATCTATTACTAATACATTTAATATTCACTTTTATTTAAGACCTTTTGAATAATGTTGGAATTTACATAAGTTTTTGTAAAATTTTTTTATTTTATGCACGTCTCTAAAAAATACATTTATTTCGAAAACAATGTACTTTTTTGATTTGAAACAAGAATACCTTTTTTGTGTAGAATTAAATGTTATTTCATGTTTTTTTCCTAGAATGTTTATACAGGGTGGGAAAAAAATTATGGCCCATTAATGAACCAATGTAGGTGGCGCCACCTAGTGTCATCGGTAAGACTAATATCATTGTCATATTAAGCATACTAAATAATAGCAAGATACCAAATTTTACTTAAATCGGTTGAATAGTTTTCAATATATCCCTAAAAATAATATAAAAAAATATTAATGAATCACCCTGTAGAACGAAAACTAGCAACATTTGGCCTAAGCAATTTGAGCTCACACGATTTATTTTGATGTCAGCTATCACCCATTAGCTAATGTCCAATTAATTATGGGACACCCTGTATAGTTTCCTTGCGTTGAATGACAGGTAAGTGCACTTATTTACTAGACTTTAGGCTTTAAGAGTACGCTCAAAATAGTTGCGAAATACAGTAGCTTCAATCCAGCCATTTTTCGTAGCGGCATAAGCAGTACCAGCGAAGGTATCATGTTCGTCGGCCATCCATTCATCGCAGATATTTTTGCCTTTAAAAAAGATTAATGGAGGAATTTTTTCGCCACCAGCTCTTGCTGCCATCACCACTATAGTGTTCTCAATTTCCGGTCCACTGGTGGTTCTTGTGCATGATGCTCCTTGCTTCTCAACAACTTTTATTTTAGAGGGCTCACTCGAAAATTCTGTATCATCTATATTGTAGTATCTCTCAGGTTTGTCAGCAAGTTCCAAAGATTGAATGGTTTCGCTCAATAATTTAAACTAATCTTTAACAACAAAAGGATTCATGTCTTCCTTTAAAATTTAAGAACCAGTCTTTACCTGGTCTACAATCTTTAAATTGAGTTTTTAAGTTCTTTGATTGGACGAACTGTTGGGTTAATTCTAAAACTTCTTTGCTGTGATGGAATGTCGGTGGATCGACCTTGTCCTGATTCCTTCGCGCCTCTTCTTCCACTTAAGTGATCCCGTAATGTTGTCACAGGAATATCTTACAATGCAAATATCCAGTTTTTTCAGTAAATACAGACCTCCAAATGGAAATTTTTCTCACGAACCGTTAGATTTAGGAAAATTTTGAGTATGGCTGAAGAACGAGCTGTCAATTTTATGTAAGAACTCGCTATGTCCACTCGCTTGACTCTCGGACCAAAATTGATGCCAATGTAGCCGAATAACGAAAATTAATAAAAACCCAAGGGTACCCCCTTTGATGATTTTTGCCAAATTTTAATTAAAATTTTTTTTTTATGTTTTGGTACATGCACTCGGTCCAGCGTATTACAAACATGTGTCTTAGTCTGATCCTCTAACCCCAATTTCCCGGAAAAGAGAAAAAATCGAATTATAAATTCTTCAGTTTTTCAGCAAATATAGACCTTTAAATGGAAATTTTTCTCACGAACCTTTAGATATAGGAAAATTCTGAGTATGGCAAAAGAACGAGCGGTCAATTTTATGTCAGAAATGTCTACTTGCTTGACTCTCGGACCAAAATTGACGGCAATATAGCCGAATAACGAAATTTGATAAAAATCCAAGGGTACCCCCTTTGACGATTTTTGCCAAAGTTTAATTAAAAAAAAAAAAAAAAAAATTATGTTTTGGTACATGCACTCGGTCCATGTGCTTTTTTTTTCTTTTCCAACAGTTGTTCCAGTGTGTATATTATGGTCTATGCATGATCTGCCTGCCGTAAAGCCTGCCTGATCCTCCTCGATTTTGCCTTATATCGCTTGCTCTATCTTTTCTCGCAGTATCTTCCCTGAGGTATAAACATCTACCTAATGCCCTTGGTACATAAATAACTATTAGGTTTACTTTTTAAGCCAATGTAAAGCAATGTTTCATATAATTATTTAACGAAGCAGAAAGATGTGCGTCAGGGAAATGTTCTAGCACATACTTATAGCTAGCAGTTGTATGAGCCATGTTATAATTAAGTAGTTTTACTCAACCAATTACGAGTTTTAAAAGCACATACAGTGTTGAGTGAACTAAAGTTGAAAGTTTGTGTAGTAATTGTTCAAAATTCAAATCATCACAAATTAAAAATTAAAAATTGGCAAATTAAAATATTGACAGAACAATAAGAATGAAACTATTGAGATCTGTTGGTAATGCAGTAAAAATCATACGACATATAGATCACAGAGATGAATTTATTATAAGGTAAAAGTAAGTCTAAATAATAAAAAAAAATAGTACAAAACTTTGAAATTATTTTTTCCTATTTATGTATATAGATGCAAAAATAAAACCTTTCTCATAAAATTTCTATGTTAAAATCATAGTGTTTAAGGAAATTTCAATACAATATTCAATACGTCGAGTACTGTACAAAAACGTATACATTTCAAGACCTATTTTGCTAAATAGTACTTTATTAAAATCTTAAGTACTATTGTACAATTGACATTTGTTTAAACCAAGCCTTTTTAGCAATAATGACGACGGTGATGGTGATGGCAGTGGTGGCACCCATGGCTGTAACCCGAATGACCGCAAGGTGGTATTCCGTATGGTCCATACCAGCTTGATGGTGGCGGTGGCATTGGTGGTCCGTATGGAGGAGGACCGTAATTTGTCGGAACTGGAACTGGTACTGGAATTATTGGCGGTGGTGGAGGAGGTCCGTGATGGTGATGATGGTGATGGTGATTGGGATGTAGCACGTCGTGGATGATTTCACCAATTATTCCACGATTGTGGTGGTGGTGATGGTGGTGATGATCGTGGTGGTGTGGCATTTTCTTGCTTTATTTAGGTTAGCTTCCTATAAAGAAAAAGATTTAAATTGTAGAAAATCAACACTAAGTCACATAATGTTTAGTCTATTTACATTTTATGTAACATTTCAAAAATTACTATACAAGAAATCTGAATTGAATGGCAGAATGCAAAAAAGTGTCAGCAAGAAGAACATCATTAAAGCCTCTCGAGAAATCTAGTACATATTCGCAAATTTCAATTTGTCTTGTAAGTTTGAATGCGCGTTTAAACAAACATTTATTGTAATACTAGTACCATCTGTGGCAAAATTTAAGTGTTAAGTATGGAACTTTAGTCTCTAGTAAACATAAGGTTTTAATTGCACATATCGTGAAATCGTCTTTAATAGATTGACATTTATGACGTTAGAAGCAGAACGAGTAAAGATATTAATTCCTTTGGTAAAATAAAGAAAAGGGTTGCAGAATCAGTTGGTATAAACAAAGCCACTTTAGATGATGTTGTTACGAAAATATTTTAGAGAATTATTCAAAAATGGTAGGTACATATTGGGTTGGTCAGTCAAAGGGGTCTAGTCTGACATTTGGAAATATTTATTATAATTCATGAAAATGCCGAAAAGCTCCATTTTTTTCAAGCGGTTATCTTTTGACGATATATGTGTCATTTGTCAATCTCCTCCCGTCCAGTATCATGTACCTTTAATTTTAAATAGTGAATAAACCATGATTGGTATATTATTGAACTGGTATTTCACTGGAAAATTATGGTTTTCTCTTTATATGAACTCTGTTCTTGTAAAAAGCTATCAATTTAATGATAGTACTACACCTTTTAAAAAAATAAACGTACCGCCCATGTTTTCTGGTTTTAATCATTTTTAATAAACAATTTTTTCCGTCAGGTCAAAAACTACATTGCAAGAAATTTGCAAAATATTTAATTTTTTTTAATTCGTGTAAAAATGTCATCTTTTCGAATATGAAAAACGATTTTATCTACGAGCAATAGTATAAGAGTTATTTTATATAATTGATGGATTCGACCGTTACTTGATGGAAATTCATTTTATGTAACAATAAAACACTGAAAACTTTTGTTTTCAAACTTCCACAAAATTTATTTTAAATATTATCACTACAGCTGTTTCGGCTGATTGCCTTTCTCATGTGATCTATTTTGGCTTGGGTTTACAAATTTATAGTCTCTAATGAAATAGGCTGAGGAGGGGAGAACTGTTTGTCTCAAGTTGGTCATTCAGAATTATATCTGTGTTTTTTAATTTGTTGATTTCCATAGATTCTAACAAAGATAGCTTAAGACCTTTATGGCTTAATGTTTATGTTGGAACCTACCCATACTGACACGACTATACACAATTCGTCATCCCATCCAACACAACATAAACTGGCAGCTTATCATAGTATGTTACATAGATTAACAGAAATTCCGATGTCAAAATACAACTTTGAGACAGAATTAAATATAATTAAGTAAATAGCAGTAAACAACAGATACAACGAACAAACAATTAATAAAATGTTAAATCAAAAACTACACAAGAAAGCCTTGAAATTAGTATTTCCACCACCAGAGAAAAAACCCAGTACCTTCTGCTCGATTACATATACAGGCAAAATAACAACAAAAATTGCCAAACACATAAAAAAGAAAGGAATAACACCAGCTTACCGAACAAATAACAACCTAGGCAAATATATTAAAAATAACAAGAGCCAAAATAAAAAACACTTAAATAGTGGTGTGTACAAACTTCACTGTGGCGACTAGCCAAAAACTTACATCGGTCAAACTGGTAGAAACTTTGATAAACGAATAGCAGAACATAAAAGGGCTTTCAAGAATAGAAAAACAGATTCGACATACGCACTTCACCTTCTAGATCATAATCATTCTTTTAATGACAAATTTAAAATACTTCACATTCAAAATAAAGGCCTTAAGCTATCTTTGTTAGAATCTATGGAAATCAACAAATTAAAAAACACAGATATAATTCTGAATGACCAACTTGAGACAAACAGTTCTCCCCTCCTTAACCTATTTTATTACAGACTATAAATTTGTAAACCCAAGCCAAAATAGATCACTTGAGAAAGGCAATCAGCCGAAACAGCTGTAGTGATAATATTTAAAATAAATTTTGTGGAAGTTTGAAAACAAAGTTTTCAGTGTTTTATTGTTATTTTATATGTTTATAAATCAAAAATAACCGTAATTTTACAAAAGGTTTTGCGCTGTAAAATTTTTTTTTAATTTTTTTGTGTATATTGATATTTTAATTCTTAAACTCTCATTCAGTATGTGTAGAATTATTGTATATTCACTAATAAATCGATTGAAATTTTGAGGGTTTGTTAAGGAACATAATACCCAACTTTGTGCAGAATAACAAATGCCTAGTTTGATGATTTACAATAGTTATAAACAAATAAGGTTTTTGCCTTATTTTGCAGTTTTTAAAGCAAGAAAATAATTTTAAAACTTTATAGAAATCGCTATTTTACAGCATTTTTTAAATTTTAAAAGATAAAGTTTTGGTATTTTACCGTAAACATTAAGCTTTTCAATGGTAAGCAAAAAATCGGAAAAATGGTATATTTTACACTAAATTGTTAATAATTAAAAAAAAGACGCCGAAATTTATGCGGAAAACATATAGGTTTTCTTTATATAAGCCTATAATAACTAAAAAAATGTCAGATATCTGGACGAGTCACTGTCCCGAACAAGGCCTCTTTTTTTTGCTTATTTCCCTGCAGTAACAGTCACTCGATGGGGCATTGATCGGATTAAGTGGTCTATACAATATTGTTAAATACTCATGCAGATTCTTCTTATGGCATAAAGGTCTACTAGGTTCGCTGGAGGACATGGCAATCGATTTAGGTTTCGACCTACCATATCCCACACATCTTCAATGTGTGATAAATCAGCTGATCCTGATGGCCACTCCCGAATCTCTATACCAGATTCTTGAATAAATTCCATGGTTCTACGGTCTTGCGTTTTCTGTTTAAAATGGTTTGTAGGTAGATATGTAAAACCGGTTGCAGTACTTCACCAATATATCGTTGAGATGTCAGAGTGCCGTTAATAAGAACCAGAGGTGATCTGCTTCTCAAACTTATAGCACCCTATACCACAATGCTTGATTGTCTTGATGTATGACGTCAACAGCCAAGTATATTTGGTCTCTCACTTCGAAAACGTCTTGCGCCCATCAGAGCCACCCAAATAAAAGTTAGATTTATCAATGAAGCAGACAAAATTTTATTGACCATTCCAGTTTCGCCGAGCTCTACACCATTCTAAGCGTCGAGCCTTATGCTGTGGTGTCAAAGGTAACAGCAAAAGCGGACGGTAATCTCTTAGTCTCACTCTAAGTAATATTTGATCAATTGTTCTTCTTGAAACTACCCTTCCTGCAGCTGCGACAAAATCATCTCTTCTCACATCACGGCCTTGCAATATTCTAGGACGTCCAGACCTTCCACGATGCCGATAAGTCTCACCATTGGACAAACTCCGTTAATGGATTAGCTTCAACTTTTCGTGAAATTCGTTTACCAAAACCGGCCTCTTTCATGTCTACAATGACGTTTAAATGACGAAATTGCAGACGGCCACGAATTTTTGTCATTTTAAATTTTTGGGTCAATCAGTTAATCACAAACAATCCAAAATGACTAAAAATTACAAATAAATCGAAGTTAAATTTACAGAAATAAATTTGCTGATCTTTTTTGTTTTTGCGAAGGAAAAAAAAAAGAAAAAACCTTCAGTCAAAGAAAAGATAGCCAGGCAAAAACTTTATCACATATATATTTTTAGATAAGACTTAGAAAGAAATACTTTTGATCAAAATAAATAAACCTATACAAAGTATTGCATTTTTTTTGGCCATCAGTATACATTAATAACAAAGAATTAGAAGTTCGTATCATGTATATATAACACAATACTTTTAGAACTTAAGGAGGAGGATTAAGAGAAAAATTTAATCCATACTTGAACTTGAACTTTATAACTCTGTATTAGGTATAGAAACCAATGGCAGTATGATCAGTAATGGCTTGCATAAAAAAATAGATAAAAATCAGGTACAATAGACATATTCGTTAACGTAAGAATTATTAAAAAGATAGTTTGAGAGATTTTTAAATGCAGAAAAAGTTATAGTTAACAAAATATGTAGTAGCTATAAAGTTAAGTACTTAAATATGAGAAATACCCAATATTTAAATGGAGAATGATCCAAATGATAGTCATTTAAAATGCACTTACCTTATTACGCGTTAAATAAAACCTAAATCACTTCAACGATTACTAAAACGGCTAAACCTTGATAAAATGCCACAGATAAAGTGTTCAAGTATAATAAATATCCATTGTTTATATCCTAAACTGCTATTTTATCTTATCACCTTGTTTTATGTAGGTATTAACAATCTGACAAATATAGGCTTTTTATTATATTGAGTGCTTCTAAAAACTGATAATAATGTTATTTGAATCTGTTTATTTGTTAATTTCAATGACTCATTACTATATTTACGTCATTTTGTGAAACTATGTGGAACTAAATATGTTTTATTATATAAATTGATGACTAATATTTCTGTATTTTCATATATTTTACACCTATTATATAGTTTAATAATATAGACGACTTAAAAGACTTAGAAAAGATGATTAAAAGAAAAAAGAGTGCATTTCATAAATGGTTAAACGACAAAACCCCAGGAACACGGGGAGAATATGTTACCCTCAGATAACAAGTTAAACAAAGAATAAAGCTCGAGAAAAACGAATACTGAGAGAGAATGTGCAGAGACATAGACAACACGATAGGATATATCAGATCAACGGAAGCATGGAAAAAAATAAAAAACATCAGAAGTACTAAACGAAGTAAAAATATCATACAAATAATTACATCAAAAGAGTGGACAAAGCAATACACAAAATTATTGCAGGAGAATAGGCCGGAGTATATCTCATACGACCCTGTGACAATAATAACTGAGGAAGCAGAAATCACAGAGGAAGATACAAATAAAGCACTACAGAAATCCAAAAACAATAAAGCACCAGGACCAGGGAACATAAAAATGGAACTGCTGAAATATGGAGGCGCAAGGATAGTATCATTTATACGAATGTTGTTCAATAAAATCGAAGCAGGAGAGAAGATTCCCGATGAGTGGAATTTATCATACATATCCTCCATTTTCAAAAAAGGTGACAAAAGGTCACCAAATAACTACAAAGGGATCAGTGTAATGCCTTCAATAACAAGAATCTTTTCATCAGTTATAAAAGGACCATTCTAGCGAAGAACAAGCCGGATTCCGAAAAGCTAGATCATGTTTAGATAATATATTCATTATGAGACAAGTGATTGTATAGAACAAAGAAAAAAACATTGAAATACATATGACCTTTATCGACTTAGAGAAAGCATACGATAGAGTGCCCAGAAAACAACTATGGGAAACAATGAGAAGAATGCGCGTTAGAGAGAAATGGGTGAATATTACACAAAGACTGTATAAAGAAACACAAGTGCAAATAAAGTTAGGTATTGAAATAACAAAAACAATCACCGCAACAAAAGACCCCAAACAGGGATGTGGTCTCTCATCTACACTTTTTAACATATATATATATTATATATATATATATATATATATATATATATATATATATATATATATATATATATATATATATATATATATATATATATATAGATCAGGCTTTTAAAAGATGGTATAGAAAATGCGGAACAATGGGGATACCAGTACAAGAGAATATATTATATTCACTACTTTTCGCAGATGATCAAGTCATTTTTGCACAAGACGGGGAGGATATGGAATATATGAGAAGGAAATTAAAGGAAGAATATGAACTTTGGGAACTCAAGATAAATATATGCAAGACCGAATACTTATGTATTGGACCCGAGGTTGCAGATTTAAACTTAAGTTTAGAAGAAGAGACTATTAAGAGTTGTAAGACTTTTAAGTATTTAGGGTCAATGATTAGCCGAGATGGTACTTGTATGAAAGATATAGAAATGAAAATAGCACGGGGAAAACAAGCCACAAGAGCACTTCATGGAGTGATATGGAACAGCACTCTAACCAAAGAAAACAAAAAGAGGATCTTTCAAAGAATAATACGAAATAAAATAAGAACAGTTGAACTGAACTTTATGAGAAGATGTCTACAAATCACAATAGCGGATAGAATAAGAACGGAGAAAATATGGAACAGAATAGAAGTAGAATGCTCAATTATAAAAAAGTTGCAAAACAGAGCCCTGTAGTGGTACGGGCATGTACAAAAAATGCCAGAGCATAGGTGGCCGAAAAGAATATTAAACTGGGACCCGCCGGGAAGAAGACGGAGAGGAAGACCTGCTACAAGATGGAAAACATACGTCGGAAATGCTATGATAGATAGAGACCTCAGAGAAGGTGACTGGGTGAATAGAGTGCTGTGGAGGACGAAAACGGCGAACTCATAATGGGAAAATCCGAAAAAGAAGAAGATAATACAGAATCTCATCAGCATTGATTAAAAACCAATTTTTGACTAATTTAAATTATTGATAAGAAACCAAAAACTAAGATTTAGGAACCAACAACAAAAAAAAAAGAAGAAAACAAAATAGGGCAAACTTCAAGAGGTTAGTGGGTGAAGAACTTGGAAACATCCCAACAATAGAAAATCCACGAGATCTAAAAGAAAAAGACCTAGAGTTCAAAAAAATTATAAAAGAAGCTCCAACTGCACCAAAGGAGAAGAACATACGTTTCGTAGGGGTAGGTTTAGGGAAATAATCCCTGAACTAAGAGAAACGATAAGAGAAAAGAATAATAACCCAGGAAGACAGAAACAGGGCAAACCGACTAAACCGATAAGTCAAACAGGCACTAAGAGAAGGCAAAAATTGGACGAGCACGTGAAAGAAATGGAAGAACGAAGACAGAACATGGAAGAAATATGGAGGCTAAAAAAATATTAAGAAATGATAGTGTATAGGGAAAAAACCAGTTATGTTACTTTTTATTGAAAATCTTGGTGGAGGCGCCTTTAAATTTTTCGAATGACGATCTATATTTTAGAGTACCAAAACTGAAAAAAAAACCACTGTCTTCTTCTTCATGTACCATGTCCTTTCAGAACGTTGGTTACCATCATAGCTATCTTAATTTTATTCACTGCCACCCTAAATAGCATGCTTGTATCAACACCATACATATCTCGCAAGTTCTTCAACCATGAGGTTCTTCTTCGTCCTGGACTGCGTTTGCCTGGTATTTTTTTGCATATTTTATAGCAACCTATATTTGGGACATCTCATTACAAAAATCTCATACCAAAACTGAAAAAAACCACTGTAGTATGGCGTAAAACATAGCGTACCGAATAAAAACTAGCTTAGTCCAAACGTCCAGAGCAAAAAACCAGTGATGTCATGTAAACAAACAGGCTGAAAACAAAATTATGCCTTCAAAAAAAAATAAAAACTACCGGCTGGATATTGGGGTCTCTAAAATTAAGCAAAATTATTATTTGGCTGGATTAATTACAGTTTTAACTGTCCAGCATAGAAGGCCTCGTCGAAACAAGAATACTGCCAGTTTATATAATGCAAGTTATGAGTATCGAATTCGACTTCGCGATTGTGATATTGCACAATCCAATGCAGAATTCAATCTGCAAACCGCTGTCTATTCACACTGGATAAGCTCATAAAATCAAAAAATCTTAAAAGAAGTTCAAAGATCAAAATCTAAAATCCATCATCAGACCGTTAATAACATACGGATGCGAAACATGGACCATGACCAAAGCAAACGAAGAAAAGCTCGGACGCTTTGAACGAAAAATACTTTCGGACTCACCATGACATCACCACAAACCAGTATAAGATCAGAACTAATATCGAATTAAAAGCACTCTACAATGACGCCGATATTGTCCAAGAAATGAAATTACAGCGACTAAGGTGGGCAGGCCACGTGCACAGACTTGTAAAACTGGTATGGGAGGAGATTCCCATAGGAAAAAGATCACTCGGACGTCCCAGAATACGTTAAAGAGATAACATCCAAGCAGATCTCCGGAAAAAGAACATTCCATTTGACCCTAGGTTGATGGAAGACCGAACAAATTGAAAAAAAGTTGTATAGTCAGCCAAAACCCACCCAGGGTTGTAGCGCTACGTGATGATGATGATGATTGTGATATTGCGGTATGTGTCAAAGCTTTTGGTTTCATTCATGGGATTACTAAAAATATTTGGTTTTGAACATTAAAATTTAATTTACTCAGTTGTGAAAAGAAAATACATATTATCTAGTTTTTTCCCTGTACGCTTTAAATGTAATATTGAGATACAGGCTCTTCTCAAGTCGATGAAAAAAGCCCATATAACAATGATTCACAAACCAGGAATGAACAGCATTTTTCCGCAAAATAACAGGCCGATTAGCTTACTTCGAGCAGCCAGAAACAGACAATCTCGTGGTTTGTTTGGTTTCTAATTAAATTCAACTAGAAAACGAGTGTAAATAATATCAAAGCACGAATTTTTATATCAAGACGAGCCATAAACGTAAATAGAACAGTAATCAACTGATATGCAACAGATGCTAGTGAAGGTTATGCATAACCTGACCACAGTATATTGCTAATATATTGCCCTTTATAAAGCAATATACCGTGGCCTGATCACGATTCGACTGAGATATACGCTTTTCGGATTTATAGCCATTTCGGCACAACAGGAAAACCTCACTTTGCCCCAATACCCCCCACTATGCCTCACTCTCCCCTACATACTAATTTGATCGTTGCCGTCACGTCGTCTTTGCTAAAACTCTATTAAAAAACTTTTATTTTTGCTATTTTTGTAGTCACCTTCGTTTTCCGCTTCTTTCCTTCCCTCTCTTCTATTTCTTCTTTGTTTGGTGTATCTTCTTCTTAAAGTGCCTAACCTCTATGGATGTATTCTATCATATTGGATCACATTGCTTTATCTACTGCCGCTCTGAATAAGTTGCCAATATCAATGTACCTATTTATTAATTTATTATCAATCCCTTTCGTAAATGATCTGATGATTAATATTGTAGTGAAAAACGTATAATACCTATTCTAACCGTCGCGTCTGCTCAAATGTTTTCTTGATTTAAAATTTAATCACTTTTATTTCCGGATATTTTCAGAAACGAAGTTATCGTTAAAAATAATTATTAAAAGTTCAAGATAAGCGACCCGTAACAACAAATAAACAACATACTTAGTTTGTCTACTAGAAAATTGTAAAGTACCTATCCAGTCTTGTGCTTCCGTATTTAATAGGGAACTACCATATGATTTGTAAGTGAAAACACACTTTTTTTAGAGTGCTTACTACCAAGTATAAGTCGATTACGGAGTTTGTGAAACGTCTATAAATAATTAATTTATTTACTTGGAGAGTAAAATTATATTAAAATAATGTATATATAGATACAGATTGTTTTGAGATATGCAACTGTGTGGTTTTTTTCAATTTTTCTGTGTCAATCAGGTTTCTTTTTTCTATAGTTGTTTATTTTTGTGTCTGTGACATTTTACCTTCGAGCTATCATCATCTATATCGGGTCCATATTGGTATTGGTTTCGTATTTACTAATTTGCGTCTCTCTTGTTTTGTACTTATTTTAACTTCTGATCTTACCATTATATTGTTGCTACCAGTATTGAATGCATTCAGGACCGTTACGTCTTGGATGATTTCTTTTTTGTTTGTAATTATGAAGTCCATTTCGTTTTTTGCTTTATTATCTGGGCTTGCCCAGGTCCATCTTCTATGTGATTTCTTACAGAAAAAGCTATTCATTTGTACTAGATTATTCTGAAGAAGAAAACCAATTAAGGTCTCTCCTCTTTCATTCCTTCTATTTAGTCCAAATTGTCCAAGTGATGTTTCTTCTAAACATGCTTTGATTCCCGTTTTCGCATTGAAATCACCACATAATATCACGTATTGTCTGGGCACGTCGTTTAGGGCGATTGAGATCGATGAGTCGTAGAATTCTTCGACTTCTTTATCTGAATGGGTGGTTGTTGGTGCATAGACTTGAATTATTTTAATGCTGAATCTTTTATTGAGTTGTAATGTTAAGTAGGCAACTCTGATGTTTCTTTATTACCCATACTGTAGAAAAGATGCCCTGTAGTTCGGGTCTTCAGACTTTCTCCTTTCCTTCTCACTTCGCTGACTTCCATTATGTCCCATTTGATATTTGACATTTCACTCTCCATCTCTATAAGTGTTTCTTCTGACAACAGACTTCTCGCATTGTAGGTAGCAATATGCATCAATAGATATGTGTTTTTTTGGATTTTGTCGGTTGCGAATTTTTGCCTCCCCCAGAAACCTTTAGGCAGACCTTATGAGGTGTGGGACTTACCATTACTTATCTACCCACCTGGGGTTCACTATTCACGATTCGTTTGAAATTCGCTATGACGGGGGTAAATTTGGCAATTAAAACACCACGCTTACCTTGTGTGTTGGTGAGTTTCTAAATCAGCCGCCCAATCTGGGTCAGACGCTGTTTGCAGCCGCCCCTTCTGGATCAGACGCTGTCAGTGTGGTTTGATTCTATAGTAACCCTAAAATCGAGGGTTGCCACTTCCGCCATACCGCGTACTAGTACCGTACCGTAGCACGGTACCGTACCGAAGCTCCGCTTCTCCGCCATGGCTGCTGTTGTGGACTTCATCCGTAACCCTGGACAAGGGACCCTAAATAGGTACTAGTTTCCTGGGTCAGGAAACACCCGGAATCTGCAGAGGGCAGGGATTAACCTGATAGGACTATCTTCAAGAGTTTAAAGAGTTCCTACCTGCTACCCGTCTTCGAGCTATATCTTGTGTTTAATTCACTCTAGGTATTCAATTCACTGCAGCGTTGTATTTTAATTGTTTCTTATATTCTTAGCCCTTTGTAAACATTGTAAAATTGATCATTTGTGTGTTTGATTTATGGGTACAAGATATAAATGTTTAAATTCGATACTTAAAATAATCCCCTTTTGTAGAATATCTTGGACATGGGTAATCACCACGGTCACCATTCAGATCATCATCATGGACACCACGACCGTCACCACTATTCCCACGATCAACATATACCACCACCACAATCTCCCCCACACCAACCGACATATTATGCGCCGCCTCCAACGAATTATGCGCCCTCTGCCCCTCCGGGTGCTTGGTATGGACCACCTTTACCTTGCGGACACAATATCTTTGTCCATGGATGCCATCATTGTCACTACTACCATAGAAGATAAAAAAATGATATAAAAGGTGAAATTTGTTGATAAACGAGACGTCTGTTGAATTTTTCTATTTCATCTACATTGAATTTTTTTGTCAGTAAATTTTAAGTATATATTAATATACATTAATACCTACATATATCATTCTTTTATTTATTAATGCATATACCTATTTGGATTAGGTGGAAATTTGCCACAATCAAATTTATTTTTCTTAACTCTTAAGAAATTGCCTAAGAAATAATAATTAACGACATTCTTTTGGAAGAGCGGGCTATCGGCTACGAAATAACTAGAAAGACAATTAAACTAGAAACTACTGGCCCATCATTGGATAAAAATAGCTGAAACATAAAAAAACGTATACCACATTTTATATCCTTGTTATACATATATAATCAATAAAATATCATTTAAGTATAATTATTTATTTCAATTTTGTACTGAATGTAGCCAAATATCTAACTTAGTGAAGAAAGAGTTGCCTATATCGTAGTTAAAATATACTATTATTGCACTTTAGAACTACGTTGCCAAGTTTACTGAATTCGACTAAAATAAATCGGAATTTTAGTTTGAAAATATCATAACTTAATTTAGACATCTTACTTATATTATTTTATAATTTTGAATGAGGAAATATATGGTTTTTCATATTAAGTATTAAATTCATTCTTGGATTGAATGAATCTTTTCGAGCAAATGAGCAACATCACATGTAAAATAAAAAATGATTTGCTTGTTTTTATACTAAAGATTTTTTTAAATTGTGCAATTGATCAATGGACTAATTGATAAAATTCGTATAAATTGTTGTAAATAACTGCAAACAAATCACACGGATAGCAATGTGGCAAATGTGTATATTCGTGTGTTCCGTCAGAACACTCAGAACCGTCGTATGCTGAACTGTCATGTGACGTAATAGTAAAAAGTGGTGGGCAATGTGATGTGTACAAATTTTGTTCCACGTCGAAACCAACCGTGTGCTTGTAGAAAGTCAAGAAAGGTGGCCGGTCATTTAGTGGAATAGAGACTTGTTAAATACAAGCAAGTTTTGTGAGGCTGTGAGATCTTGTGGTTCAGTAAACATGAACAAATTAATATTTTTAGCGTTATTAGTGTTCCCAGCAGTCATTTTCATTTTCGAAAATGGTAAGTACCTTCAAATTTAACAAAAATAAGAAATTCGTCAATTTGAATCTACTTTCAGTATATTTTTGTTTTGTCCCATATTGAATTTACTGTCGAAAGTTGTAATTAACGTAGGTTTTGCGTAGGAATTGTTTTTATTTCAAAGAAATGCTTTTAAAACTCAAAATTCAAATGAGGTTAAGTAACTCCTTTTTGACACATTTTCTATTTATTTAAGGCAAAATGGTATCATATGCTGAAGAAGATCCCATTGAGGATGAAGTAGAAGTTGAAGGGGAAGTAGACTCTGATGTGGAAGCAACGGCTACAGAAGAAGAAGTGGATGAAGATACAAAGTCACTTTCGTCACCATATGCTGATACTACCCTGTTGTTTGTGAAGCCTGAATCTACTGGAGCCTCTCAACTAGGTTTGTACTTCTTTATAGATAAATATGACTTTAGTGTAAAGATATATTAACTTCAGGAAGAAATGTTTTATGTCAAATTCTGTGCTCTTAGTTGCTGCTAAGAATCTTTCTTAGTGTTATTTAAGTATAACTTTCACTGAGTTTTATCAGTTCAAAATGATCATGAAGATAACTGTAATATACTGCATATATACCATAGAATCATGTGTAGCTTTCTTTTAAATATTTAAGCTGTTTTAATTTTTCTTGAAATAGGGAAGATAATTTTTTGTATCTGTATATAAGAATCATTATTGGAAAAGAAAAAGTATATACATATTTAGGAAAGAAGATGAAGATTTTGTGAAGGAAATACTAACTCTGCTATGGAATTATCACCAGAGAAACTTAATCATATAATTTTTAAGGTTTTTTCAAATTATGCACATTCAGCATAACTGTTGATGTTATAATATAATAGCAGATGGAACTATGAATATAAAATAAAATGTCATAAGCTATTAGTAATATACATATTCATTAATAACTTAATAAACATATTATCAATTCATTATTGAAATGTTTGTTTACTTTCAGAAATTCCTGCTGGTCTACCTGTTGAATTCCTAGTAGGATTCCGCAACAAAGGTGATCAAGATTTTGTTGTAGACACCCTCGAAGCATCCTTCCGCTATCCAATGGACTTCAACTTCTTCATCCAAAACTTTTCAGCTGTTGGATACAGGTAAATATTTTTTTATTGCTAAATGACGAATTTTTTGCTGTCTACAGAGATTGCATACATAGGAAATGCATATTATTTATATATTTTTGTAAAAAATACCAGTTTTACTGAAGAGTAAATTTGTTTTACAGCAAAGTTGTTCAACCTGAAGAAGAAGCCACTTTCCTCTATAGTTTTCTACCAGCTGAAGCCTATGCAGGCCGACCATTTGGGTTGAACATCTTGTTGAACTATCATGATGCTTCAGGAAATGCTTTCCAAGAAGCTGTCTTCAATGAAACAGTCCAAATTGTTGAATTAGAAGAAGGTAGGTCTTTTTCTTTATTTTTTTTATTTTCATAGCTTTGAAAACCAAAATAAACACATAGTTTCAGCTCAAGTTAATAATTGTTGTTTTTTATACAATTTATATTCATTTGATATGTTTTATACAGGTCTTGATGGAGAAACATTCTTCCTCTATGTCTTCTTGGCTGCTGGTGTAGTATTGCTCTTGGTTATTGGACAACAAACTCTGTTATCAGTTGGTAAGAAGCGCAGTGGAGGAAGTGGTGGTAGCAGCAGGAAATCAGCACCTGTTGAGACTGGAACTAGCAATCCAAACAATGTTGACTACGATTGGTTGCCAAAACAAACACTAGCTAGCTTAAGTAAGTACTTTTTGTATTAATTGTCAATAATGAACCATTTCATAACATATCCATATCTCTAATCCCTGATTCGTAAAAGTGGGTTTTATTTAGTTTTGTTGTATTTTTCTGAGTTAAACTCAAATATATCACTCCTAATATTTGTTTTTAAACTTTATTTAGTATTGAGAGAGTGTAACTAATAACTGTCAAGTAGTAATTGCTTAAGCCTACCTGTTTGTATGTGTATAGTTTCCTTCGTAACAGTTTACTTTATTCCATTTACTAAAATGGACTCTTTATTCATAACAAATTATAAGGAATGTTAAAGTTTGACACGAAACATGTTACATTTTGTTGAACAGTTTTGTTGACATTTTGATTTGAAAGTGATAGACATATAATGCAACTTTTTTATGTGAAACATAATATTTTGACATTAGGCGCAATATACAATGTGTAACAGTAATTTTTCAAGTTCTTTATCTTATCAATTGTGGTGCTAAATCCTAGAATGTGTATCTATGTCTGTGAGTATGTTAATTTCCCAAAGCCTCTTGCGTTGAAGCTGTCAACAACTTTACTGTGGACACATTCCTAGTTGCTATCAGATAACTTCATTATTCCCACATTCCCAGTGCCTGGTGTACCAATTTTGTCGACCAGGAACAAATTATAATTGGATTCCTGCAAGTAGTAACCACCAGGGAATTTGTAAAGTGAGTGTGTAATCCCCCAGGTGTTCCTTACTTCAGTGAACTCTGGGAAAAACGTGTCAATCTTGCATAATACCATGAACAACATGTTTGATACAAGTACTTTGTTCTAAAAGGCTTGTGCCAATATTTACAGTTTTGTATTTTAACATAATATCAGAGAATGTTATAATGGTTTTCTGTAAAAAATATCAATGATTAAACAGGACATTGTGTGCATCTGAGATTCAAATAATATTTATGGAAAAAATTATATTTTGTCCACCATAAATATTAAATTTTCTTAATGTCCAAAATCTGTTTTTAAATGGTCTAATTGATCTCATAGGATTTTTACTTTTACTTTTAACACTTAACAAAGAAGATATAGAACTTTTGGGTTATAAGATAACTTTGTTTTTGTTGCATATTCAGGCATATTGTTGTTTCAGGAATTTTTATGATTTTTTTATTCCTATCATCCAGTGCAATGTCAAGAATTCTCTCATTGTAGCAGTGTTAAGTAACTTTGAACAGACTGTGTAAATATTTTATCCCATTTAGCACTTCTACCTTGGATGCACAATAACTACAGTTCCTACAACATATAAAACATTTCAAACATCAAGCATGAACATATTACAGGATCCTTTATGATTTTGTTATTCCTGCTAATTTCAATAGTCATTAATGACATATATGGTCTGAATTAGAACTCCTACATTACATACTCCACAAAACTAGTGCTTGAATCATTTTAAACATTACATACGTCATCTTATGCATCCACAACCTTCACCTGTAATCTTACCACCACAGGCATCCAAACTACAAGAATGTATATTTGTTACAGACAAGGAAAAGCTCCAAAAGTCGCCCAAAGGCAAACCACAGAGCCCAAGGCAGAGGAAAGTCAAACGTACTACCGGTTCAGAGTAGTGATAACTAGTGACTGAATTAAAAATTCATCCAATTCGTTTTCATCTTGATCAAAAGACTCGTCATTGAAGTTACTAAATTCTACATCATCAGAAAGACGAAAAATTACTACTTTCTTTAGATTTATCTAAGGAAACGTTTTTGTGGAACATCAACGACTCGATAACAAAATTCTTACACTTAATACCTAAATAGAAACGTTTTCTTAGATTTTTCATAAACTGTCATTACTGTACGTACTCATTTTTTAGTTTTTCCAGGAGGTAGTTGTTTTTTGTTCTTTCGAAAAACTATTTATAATTTTGTATATTTCAGTGTGTTGTGAGTTTCCAGTTGTTATATTTGAAATAGATTATATGATTGAATATATCACGTGAATATTCAAATTACACCATAATGGTGCTCAAATGACCTATTAAAGCGTAATTTGATTTGTAATTGTTGTTTTATTAACCTTACTTTTGAAGATACGAAGAACTTTGACACCAAAAAAACGTTTTTGAGTATCAGATTAGTTTAACTTATTGGAATACCTACTTATTGCAACTAATCAGTGTTAGCAGGCGGAGAATCGACGAATTTGAGGTAATGTATCGAAACAGTGGTACAAAATGGTTTAGACAAGGTTAACATGGTTCTTTTTAAAGACCTGGATCAGTTAAAGGTTTCGGATTTCAAGCCAGCTGGATCTTTATTGACAAAACTATTCTAGAAGATATTACACAGTAAAGAAATTTTTATACACAGCTAAAATTATCAGTTACTGGTAAAGGTTCAGCGTTCAGGAAAGAATATTCTGGTAAAAGGTCCAATTTTATTCTCTATATACACATCTAATTTTCCCTCTGTATTTTTGTCCTGTTCACAACATTATTACGCAGACGATACCCAACTCTATCTATGCCATTTTATCCAAATGAGTGTGATCAAGCGGTAAATGCAATAAATCATGACCTTCTTAATCTGCAAATTTTTTCTCAAAATCATTGTTTAAAATTAAATACATCAAAAACTCAGGGTATCATTTTTGGGAGGAATCTCCATAGGAAAATATTTTTAGAGAATTATGCCAATCGAATTATCTTAGGAAATGACAATTTAATTTTTAGCAAAAAGATTAAAAGCCTAGGGGTTTGGTTCGACGAAGATTTAAGATTTACATATCATGTAAGTATTTGTTTACAAAGAGATTACGTAGTTTTAAAATTGCTGTATCAAAGCCGTAATTTATTAAGTAGGGCCACAAAGTCATTATAATGTAATGCTCTGGTATTATCAAAATTAAATTATTGTGACGTGCTTTACAATGCGTGTCTCACTGAATTTGATTCATGGAGAATACAGACATTGCAAAATTCTTGTTTGCGTTTGATTTTTGACATCAGGAAATTTCAAAGGATAAGTCATGTTTTCACCGTAGTCAAGTGGCTAAATATGAAAAATCGTCGGAAACTTCATGCTTTATGTTTTTACCATAAAATCATTCAGGAGAGAGTTCCACCATATCTGTACAATCGAATAACTTATAGGACAGATGTTCATCATCTTAATCTTAGACACAAGAATATCCTCACTTTACCTAAGTATACAACATGCTTTTTTAAACGTTCATTTTCGTATTCCATTGCTAGCAATATTAACAGTTTGTCCTACAATATTAAAAAACTGTCTATTGTCAAGTTCAAGAGATTAATTTATGAGCACCTCTTAGCTAAACAGTAATTTAAAAAATTTCAGAATTAAAAAAGAATAATTTTTATAAGAGTTTCATAAGAGGCCAAAGATCAGAGATGAAAGACTTAATCGAACCGAAACACATAGATAACGACACATGGATTGAATACCTAAAGAAGCTTTATAATGATGAACAGCAAATGATGTTAGAACCAGAAACACCAGAAATCATTACAAACGAGGAAGTCGAGATAACCGTACAAGAAGTAAAACAAACTTTAGAAAAACTGAAGAACAGAAAAGCTGCAGGTAAAGATGGAATTCCAAATGAATTATTGAAATATGGTGGAGAAGCATTAACAGAACAGCTAACAGCACTAATTAACAAAATCATCAAACATAATAAAATACCTGAAGAGTGGAAGAAAAGCGAGCTTATCCTACTATACAAAAAAGGAGATAAAAAACAACCTGAAAACTACAGAGGTATCAACTTATTAAACACCACTTTGAAGCTTACAACCAAAATATTGCAAAGCCAAATAAATCAGAGAATTACCTTGGCGGATAAACAGCAGGGTTTTCGCACAGGAAGATCGTGCACAGATGCAGTATTCATCATAAAACAGATTACCGAGAAAGCACTAAAGTATAACAGACCAGCATTCATATGTCTAATAGACCTGAAGAAAGCGTTCGATAAAGTAAAGCTTAAAGATGTAATTCACCTTCTTTACGATAGAGAAATTCCACTAAATGTTATAAAAACAATAGAGAACATTTACCAAAACAACAATATGGAAGTCAGAATAGATGACCAGCTTACAGATCCAATAGATATGGGCAATGAAATAAGACAAGGAGACTCGCTTAGTCCAATGCTATTCAATCTAATCATGGATGAAATCATCAATACTATTAATAAAGGAAGAGGATACAAAATGGGGAACAAAGAAATCAGAATACTCTGCTATGCAGATGATGCGGCCCTAATTGCATCCAATGAAGACGATCTACAAAGACTAACCCATAGATTCAACACAAGGGCAAAGGACTTTAATATGGTGATCTCTACACAGAAAACTAAAACAATTGTAATCAGTAAAGAACCAATTAGATGTAAACTGGAAATCGACGGTATCAGCATTGAGCAAGTAATGGAGACAAATTACCTAGGAATTACACTGTCAAAAAAATTTAATTTGTTTGTTAATAAAGACATTTATTATTATTATTATTATTAAAACAAAGGCGAGAACGTTTTTGTATATATAGAAAATCAACAATTACTGGTAAAGTTGCAGGAAAGAATGTTCTGAGAGAACAAATGCAAGGAAATTTTTGTACACAGCTAAAATTATCAATTACTGGTAAAGTTTCAGGAAAGGATGTTCTGGTAGAAGATTTTATTTACATGTAATAAAAAAATTAATACGAATAATATTAAAAATTTCATACCTTTTTTTCAATTAAAAATTTAACAATTTAATATAATAAAAATAAAGATTTTATTGTGAAAAAAAAAGAAAAAAAGACAGTTTGCAAATCAATGGCATCGAAATTTATTAAGCTTGGATGCCTAAGTTAAATAAATAGGTCCGTTCGTACTCCTTTCCCACTTCCCCCTAACTATATCTTTCATGATATAGTTTTAAACCGCGGTCACGGTTTGAGTGTATGCAGTCGCCCTCTTCAGGAACGTTTTGAAGTATAATAACCGTGACCAAATCGCCCATTTGAAATGTACTTTGATGGTACACAAGGCAAATATCGAACACAGTATTTAATTAATTAATGCCCTTAGGGCAAGATTTGATTAAATACTGTGTTCGATATTTGCCTTGTGTACCATCAAAGTTCATTTATTCGAACATTCAACCTTATATTCATTTGAAATGTCTTATATGCGCCTATATTCTTTGCTTCTTTTATCGAAGACGTCAGTGGCGCACCTAAAATTTTCCTGAGTGGGGGAGGGTTTTGGTTGGGCACCGAATTTTTTTAAATGCTACTTCCATTTTGAGTACTTAAAATTTGTGAGTAACTGGGTCAGAATACTGCCCTGGGGGAGGGAGGGGTCTAACACCCGTGGGCGCGCCACTGGAAGACGTATAAGAAAAACGCGAAAAAAGAAATGTTCCATTTTGGTCTTGGATTGTTTAAAATCAAACAAAACATTTAATTATAATTATTTTATTTTACATTTTACGTAAACATGGTAATTGTGTTAAAGAAAGTTCTATGTCTATTTGTGAATCATTACATTAAGAACACTGTAATATTTTATATTCTCAAAAAAAAACCGCATTAATCTTAAGGACAACTTAACATTTTATTGTTTTTTTGTATGTTGTAGTTTTTTTTCTAGTTTTAACATCGTTTGGAATCTCAGTATTTATCTATTTATATTAAAGTATCAATTTGCAAATGAAAATATTATACAAGAATATAAAAATAATCCTAGATCAAGGGAGGAATACCACCGAAAACATTTTTTAGTTTGATGATTTATGTGTCGAATTTTGGAATAAAAAATTCCAACATAACAATACAAATTTAAAAATAAAACATGTAGTTGTAGTACATGCATGATACATAAAAAAATCCCTCGCCTGCCTGCCGAATTGTTTATCTCAATCACATTACATAACTATGGCTGTCCATGGAGAGGTAAAATAACCACAGCTGCCCTCAGCTGAGTTCCATAAAAACAAACAGTAAGTAAATAAAAAAAAAACAGGTGAAAAGAGCCGTCTTTACATCTTCATATTCTCTCTTTCATACGTTTCTTAGCTTCTCCATAGGTAAGAAAAACTTTAGATTCTCAAAAAAAAAAAAACTCAAGCAACATAACGAAAAAATACTCCCAGAAGTGCAAAAGAGTGATCTTCAAGAGAGCTTTCCAGAGATAAAATAGACAATCCAGCAGTAGAAAAGCATAATAGGTTTAATTAAAACTGTAACCAATGCAGAAAAGATTAACAGTGGCATTATAATGATATAAAGATCTGTCTAATTTATGGAAACCTTACATAAAATATAAAATTACTTTCCCTACAAAAGCAAAATCAATATTTACGCATTTTTAATGTAATAATTCAGTTAGAACATTATGGCGTTTTCTAAATAATAACCTATTTAGTTTAAGTGTTCCATGAACCTACAAACGTAACGTATTGCCTAGAACAAAGCAAACTTTTAACTCAATTGTATTTATAAATAGTTACTCTATTTCTATTCGAGCTAGATTTGACCACATGATTACTTCATTTCCAGATTTTTTTTATCAAAGAACAAACCCTTCAAATCCTTTTTTAGGTAGTATAATTATTTGTTTATTAATATCATTAAATTTGAGGAGCTAGAGAAATCAAGAGAAGTAAATAGACCAGGGTGGATCTGTTGTGAGGTGGATGTGAAAGGTGGCATTCGGATTTTTGCAGAAATAATTTTTTGATAACTTCAGTAAAAATAATTTATTCATCCACCTCTTAAATAGGTCGGGAACATTAATAAAAAAATTAAAACATTTAAAAATTACTAAAAACATCGATTTTTTTCTACTTTCCTCGCATAGAACATTAAAAAAATTTATTTTCTAGCAAAGTTGTAATAAAATAAAATAGCAAAAATTAAATGTTTTATACGACGCGGTTAGTTAAAAATGCTTTAATTTATTAACCTTGATGCAAAATAGCAATAAATACAAAAAAAGGGGAAACAAGCTTTTCTTATTCAATGTTTTTGAACCACTTAGATTGCAG